GTCGAGACTCGTTCCAGACAATCCAAGACCCGTTAGTTCCAGACTACGTCGTACCCACAGTCTGTTCTTCATAGTTATGCTCGAGTTCTAGAAATTTGTCGAGTTCTAGAAATTCCAGAAATTCGACTAGTAGGATATCTATATTGTAACTGCATATAAGTATTTCCATGTAGCAAATGAGGGATCCCAATTCAAGATATCCCCCTGTGACATTGTGTACCCTGTACTCCGTGCATTGATCCAATTTAATCTATATGACAGGCGACCCTGACCCATCTTTAACTTGTCCCGGGAACCTTGGGTCTTTAAATTGTGCTATTCATAGTCTGCTATTCCCAAAAAGAAGAAATCCCCCTGAACGATACCAAGGACTGTCATTAAAACCAGGGAATAATCTCTGTCATATGTGTTCGGCTCTTGGCTCGTGCCCCCGACTCATTGACCCTTTCGAAACCCTGACCTTCTTAGCCCTTTCGCATCCCTTCATCCATCGGACTCTCACACTCCCGTCCTCTTCTCATTTTCTTCTCAACCTCTTTGTTCTCAGTTTCTTATTCTCGAATCCCATCTTTGCTCTTCTTCGCCTCGGAAACGTGCCTTGTGCTATTTTGGGCCCAGCCCCAGGATTTCCCACACGAGGGCGGTGACGCAGGGCCCTTTCAACTTTCCCGGATCCCCTCGATCGACACCCACTTCTCCGCGCTTCTCCGATTCCAATATCTTTGATTCCATCTCGAGTCACCCTCCGGACTCGCCATGGTGACGGTCGGCAAGTCGCACCCGGGTGCTGACCCCGTTCACCCTCTCCCCACCTCACCCGACCCGGTCGGCGCCAACTCCCCGCCATCGAAGCGAGATTTAGCTTCATGGTGGAAGCAGTTCAAACGGAGCACCAGAAAAGATGAATTGAAAGGTAAGCCATATTTGGTAAATGCGATATAGAACACAGGCGACCGCATAAATGTTCCCTGGGGCGCTCCGGCTCGCGGCGGTTCGCAACAACCCCCCGTCATGTATCCGCGTATACCCTCGTCGCACAGGAGATGGTTGCTGCAGTTCAACATGTCGGATCTGGGGACTTTGCTTGCTCGCCAATTGATCATTTTGAGGGTCCTTCGTCGTTTCTCGGACTGGTATGCTGACCCGTTTATCGCAGAAGAGGCACCCTGCGGCATCTTCGGGATTGCGCTCAATGTCAGCATCAAGTATGCCAATGTGGCAATATCCTTGACCAACGACCATGGCGAGAGTTTCATTTATGGATACGTGCCCATCGTTGTCGCGAAGTGTGGAGTTTTCCTAAAAGAAAAAGGTTAGTATTTACCTTGGTCTACTCGATCAGTTATCGCTAACCTATTTTAGCAACGGATGTGGAGGGCATCTTTCGTCTTAACGGATCAGCCAAGCGTATTAAGGACCTCCAAGAGGTCTTCGATTCCCCCGAGCGATATGGCAAAGGACTCGACTGGTCCGGATACACCGTCCACGATGCAGCAAACGTACTTCGCCGATACTTGAACCAGTTGCCTGAACCTATCGTGCCGTTGGAGTTTTATGAGCGCTTCCGTGAACCTCTTCGTATCTACCAGCGGCAGGTGCTAGAAGGCAAGGATACAGCCGATGCCGATAAGTTCGATCACGCGAAGGCTGTCGAGACATACCAGAACCTCATCATCGAGCTGCCCCCATTGAACAAGCAACTGCTCCTCTATATCCTCGATCTTCTCGCGGTTTTCGCCTCAAAATCCGATCAAAATCGCATGCCGTCGGCTAATCTGTCCGCGATCTTCCAACCAGGCATGCTGTCCCACCCCCAGCACGATATGTCGCCAGAGGAATACAAGTTGAGTCAGGATGTGTTGATCTTCTTGATTGAGAACCAGGATCACTTTCTGTTCGGAATGAGTGGCACGGCTGCCGATGAGCAGACCATGAAAGAGGTCGAGGCAGGGGTTCCACGCCCCGCATCTCACCCGACTGTTCGACGATCGGTATCCAACGCCAGTGCGAACACTGAAAGCCATCGCAAGTTGGACAGCATCCGACGCAATGTCTCCGTTTCGTCGCGCAACTCCCGCCATTCAAACAATACTCAAAGCCCCGTAACTCCCACCTCAATCACTAGCGGCGGCGGTGTCCACCGAAGCAACACTTTGCCCTCAAAGATGGGCCCCGTCTTGGCCTCCGCTCGTTATGCGCGAGCCAACGACACTGGCTCCAACAATCCTTCTGGCCTCGCTGTTTCTCACCATGGTTCTCGATCGAGTAGTCGAACGCCATCAGTGCGTGAAGAACCTGAGCAGCCTCAGCCGATCCCCGAGTCGATGGCTCATCCGGCTCCTCAGCCAGTTCCTGAACAGACTTCCGAGCAGCGTCCTGAGCAGCGGACCCCTAGTCGGCCGGCTACCTCATTGACTCCAGGGAACGCCTATGTGCACACGTCAACCCATGGCCCATTGCCTCCAGCAGCTGCTGAACGTCTTAGCCTCAGCGAAACTGCAAGGCCGCACGAGAATCTCAGCACGGCCGTCACATCACCCCCAGTCGCTTCACCACCACAGGTTGTCACACCGAGCCGTGAGCGCAAACTCTCAAATTTCTTCACAAAGTCACCGCCAAATGATAGTGAACTGAAAGAGGCTCGGCAGCCGAATCGCTTGAAGAAGAAGCGCATTCCCGGTAGTACAAGCATGAGCGCACAAAGCTCGGCTAACTCCCTCCATGCCTCGAGTGTAGATCCCATTACGGATCTTGAACCTAAGCAGGAAAACCGTTCCGGGGAAGCTGCTGTTGGTGACACCACTCCAAGACCGCCAAATACTGCGACACTCGGCAACCGTGAGAACCCTTTTGACTCGAACCCGGCTCTCGCGGAGGGTACAACGCAACCTCACACTGACCACTCTCTGCGGCCTAACAAGTCGCGCACGCCCTCCATGAACTCGCGTTCATCCTTCACTGATCAGTCTGACATGGATCAGCCTGACGATGTCTCCCGCCACGAACATCGTCGTAGTTGGCGGTTCCATCGGTCCCCGAAGCGCACCAGTGAGCAACTTGGACTAGGTTTCGCGTCTCCACCCCTCGGGGCGACAAATCCTCGAGCTGAGCAAAGCACCAGTTCGATCGGCAGCGGTCACTATCAAAGCACGGACCTCTCCAGCCACCCATTGAGCCTGGATGCTGGCGTTCAAGGCACTTCCTCCGTAGGATCAGAGCCCGAGAAGAAGAGTTTGTTCGGAAAGTTCAAGGCGAAGGTCGCTCAGGTGCGGGATGGTGTGAAGGATGATCGTGAGCGCACAAAGAGCCCCACTCGGTCGGAGAACGACCCTTCCCTCACCAGCCAGCCTCTTTCTCCCATTGCTACAGAGTCGACAAACGGCAACTCTGCCTCCATCGAAGTCCCACGTGAACAGGCCAAGGAAGAGCATATGCGTTCGCCCGTGTCTCCCTTACCTGGCGCTGGTCTTCCCCCATCTATCCCCGAAGAGCCGCATAGCCCTGAGGTGTCTGTAGCTGCGCCTGTCGTTGAACAGAAGGATCCCGTTGAACTGCCTGCTACCGAGTCCGTGTCGGCACCGGAGCCAACAGTGTCCCATGAAATCCCGAAAGAGACCGCAGCGCCGCCCACCTCGGCTGCTTGATCTCCTTCAAATCGTTCTCACAAAGTGTTTCCATTCTCCCACTCTTCTTATTATTATCACGATTGCTCTTCCGTCGATTGCACCTCATCGTTTATCCAGTTGTGCAGGATTTGTTTGACCATTTAAGAGGGTATGGCTTATTCACGGAGCATTGGCGTCGCTTAAGGCGTTGGACGATCTTGTTTTTCTCATCTTTTCTTTTCGTTCGTGATGAATGGGCTTCGCCCTCGTTTTCGTGGCCCTCTTGCACTCTCACCCCTTTGCTTTCGATTGGATGGCGTGGTGCCCTCCCAAGTTCCCTTGAATGACCCTCATGTATTCTTTATCCCTTTGCTCTCACCAACCCCGTCTCCCCGCAATGGTCCGAAGCTCTTCATATTATTAGTCCGTTTCCGGATTTCAGTTGATCACGTTGCCATGTGGAATGAATGTACGCCTGTCTCTGCGATTGCAGCCGGTCTGTCTTGATGCTTTTTCGTGTTTTTCCCCCGATCTCGTTCTATTCCTGGGTTCAGCTTGCGATATCGGTTTGATGTTATTGTTATAAACCTGATGACAAGAATAGGGATGTCGTTTTTCAAGATTCGTTTCGCCCTTCTTCTGCATAGCTGTAGGGTGTGTCCGCGACCGGAGCCCCGCGCTGGGGAACTCCTGGAGAATTCGTCAGTTCGCATCGTACCAATGGTATTCATTAGCTCAAATTCACCGAGAAAGAAGCAATTGCCTTTCTTGTGCGTGGTTTATGGCGAAGGTGATGTTATCCCCTGAAAGACTAAGGCGTGCTGTGAAGTTGCGAGTTAGATGACGAGTCAGCGAAGCATCATCATCTGGGCTATTGCTACGACTAAGCAGTAATATCACAACTTTGCAATGGCTAGTGATGCTCTCTTGCACTGATCGTGATAATTATATTTTATCTACACAATACGGAAGCCCCTCAGATAGTTACATATGTAGCTATAACTGCTGGCTGTGATGCTTTAAAAGGTAATCGAATCCATTTAGGGCACTCTGTCACTTGCATATACGTACATGATGCATTCAGCTAAACAGAGAGATGGCTTTTCAAGTATTTAGAATGGCCCTCTTGTAATAGAAGACAAGAGGAAATATATGATGCATACCAACATACATACATCTGACCACATCTTGCTAGCAATTATTATCCTGGTTATGAGCCACCTCCCCTTCATTTAAGATTTGGGTAATCCGCGATGGATAGTGTAAATTCTTACTGATGAATTATAATTAAAGATCTCTTTCTCCGTCATGTAAGGACTGCGCGTCTGTCCCGACACATATGACACTCCTATACTAGTGTTCTAGGCACTTGGTCATATCACTTTGCCAACTTCATCACCAAGTATATCGGAAGTTCGGCTGCTCCCAATCTGTCAAATCCATCAAATCAGTCTCTAAGATGTGATGTTGGTTACCCTCGTCTGCGATAACCGTTGCTTCGCTGCGTTTATCACGACGTCGATTTTCATTTGTAAGATACATCCTGCAGAGATTAGCCCCTGGCTTCAGATGTGGATGGACACTTACATCAAAGCAGCTTGTATGACAATCATCATCGACGCGGTGACGAAATATGCCCGGAAACCTGTGGGATATGTTGGTGCTTCTGCGGTGATAAAGAACTGCGGCGTAATAATTTGGCCAACACAATAACCAATAAAAATCACGACCTAATAGCAGCTTCAATAAACATCGTTTCTTGTAGGATAGAAAGGTGTGGCACTTACACTTGCTGTCATCTTCTTAGTGAATCCAGCTACATTGGATGAAATCATTGACATGCACATGATGTATGAAACAGTACATGTGAGGAGCGAGTAAACTGCGCCGAGACGTGACATCTTTCTTTCCGCGGGCAGAGCTGCGACGATTAATATGTATTAGAAAGGGAAGATGAGGATTGTGGTCACTCACTGTAGAGTAGCACACTCCCAACCAGCACGCAAATGTTACTCAGAATCATCGCGATGCATCGTCCTTTGCCAATAACGGAACAGACTCCGCCACTGTGTTGTTAGAGATGGGACCGCATGAAGTTAAGCTGGAGGCAACATACGCGAGTAGTACTGAGACCAGCTGAATCGCATGCTCGGGCATAGCAACCACAGTCGATTCGACGCTTGAGTAGCCAAGCCCTGTGAGAATGATCTTGTTGAACTAAAATAAAGTCAGATAACGGAATCACCCACCAATGTCGGGTTGTTCCCTTACAGCAGTCAGTCCGCCACCAGGAATGCATTGAAGGAACACAATGGCAAAGAGCATCAACACCTGGGGGTCGCGGAAGCATTCTATGACTTGGTATTTTTTATACTGCCGGTTCTTCAATCCGGTATGATTTTGCAAGACCTGGAGGATACTACATCAGCCACGGTCCTATTTTGTGTGGAAATGAAACTTACCCTGACAACCGCGATCTGCCTTTCCCGGGGGGTCAAAAACCACGCAGTCATTGGGGAGGAGGGCATAGCGAAAAAGAGAAACATTCCCCAGGCCATTGTAATGGGACCAAAGATCAGATACAGGTATTGCCATCTGCTCAATGCACCATGGAAATGGCCAATTCCGTTGGACACGCCATCACCGATAAATGCTGCTATCGGACCACCGGCCCACCATAAGCACGCTCGCAATGCATGTTCCTGTCTGGTATAGTACTGGCTGACTAGAAGGGTAAACACGGGGTTGTTTGATGCTTCGAAGACGCCCAGGAAGAACCGGGCGACGGCCAGCGTAGCGAAATTGGTGACTCCCGCCGTGGCTGCGACACATACACCCCAGAGGAATACCATGCCTCCTATCCAGCGGCCAATTGGTAGTCGCTGCATGAATATAGAGTTGGGGTACTGCCAGACCAAGAAGCTGTGTTACATTAGAAACGGGAATATATCGGAATGGAGTTGAGCGATATACCCGAAGTAGAATATAGAGTTGGACCAGCTGTATTGTTGACCTACAAGGCGCTGAGACCGTTAACTTGTGGACAGTAGCATGGTTCCGGATGAGCATATCTTACCAGGTCATCTCGGAGCCCATAAACTGCGGCTGTTGATAGGATCCCTTTGTCGACAAAAGAGAGTAAATAACTTATGAGCATCTATACATTTAGTACTAAGTATGTGTATTGACAAATATGGATTTGGAGATTAATTCTTACCATGGGGACGAGTGACAGATCAAGCTTCCAGCGGACGATACTCTCTTCTCTTGCGCTGTACTCCACCACCAAGTCGCCATTGAACATCTCTGCAGCATCGTCGCATCCCTTGTCATGCATAGCCTTCTCCCCGCGAGGGGCGGCCGTCTCCTGTACATCGCGTTCTCCCATTCTTGCAAGATGCCTGGGTTTGGGGGATACACCGAGTCTTTCTGTTTGTAGGCAAAAGGACATATGGTTCCGGCGGCCGAAGGAGAATAAATACTTCTCAGATCTTCGTACGGCCACTTGGAGCTAACGATATTCCCCGCACTATTCTTGATCCTCGTATCGATGCCGCTCCTTCCCCTGATCTGGGGTAATGATAGTCATGATACTGAAGGATTCGTAACCGAGGGTTGATTGTCGGCAACACCGAGATCTCGGTTCATACCGATGTCTCGGCAGCAACCGATATCTCCGAGATATCCCAACCCTAAACATTCCCAGTATCGGAAGACTGCCGAAGTAGATAGTTCATAAAGAACGTCAATCTTCTGGATAAGCCCATCCAATAGCCAATTGGCTCTCTGGTAGACCTGCAAAGAGAATACTCGAACACCTCTGAGAAGATGTCCCTGCATCCGTCTTACCAGCATGTGGTGGTCCACGGGTTACCTTATGACCGCGGATTCTCCTATGGTGAGCAAACAAAGGAGAAGATACAGCGCAATGTCACCTACTATAAGCAGCCAGGCAAACTAGGACCATGGTAAGCCACTCGGGTCTCAAATATGTGCTGAAGGGTGCTGATTTTCAGGTCTTCGGTTTCGAGAGTCATTCATGACTGCTATATTCCTGGGTTGCAACGTTACTGGCCATCAGGATGGGAAGAGATGCGCGGTGTTGCTGCTGGCGCTGGTGTTTCAATCGAAGACATCGTCATGTTGAATGCGCGATATGACCTCTCGCATGTAAAGTTCGAGGCCGTTTGTGAAGAGAAGCCTGCCATCAAGGAAAAGGTCGTCGACGAAGAACAGCGGGTCGAAGTCGCAGAAGAATGCACCTCCGCTATCATTCTCGCCCCCGCGACAAAGGATCGGGTAGTTTTCACTGCGCAGAACTGGGATATGTCACACCGACTTGTCACCGAGGACGCCATTATCTATCTTGAGATTCATCCAGATGTCTCTGAGAACATCCCGACAATGTTCCTTGTCACCGAAGCGGGTCAGTTGGGCCGCTCAGGGTGCAACGGGGCCGGGCTAGGTCTCACAGCGAACTCGCTGCAGAGTGACAATGATCAAGCACCCGATTTATCAACGCCTATCCCCCCCTCTGGATCATTGAGGCGGCTCTTCCTTGAGCAGTCTAACTATTCAGTCGGACTGAAGTGCATCGCGCGAACCCCACGACACGTCTCGTGTAATATCATGGTCTCATCTGCCGACGACATTGGTATGTGTCTGGAAGTGACACCGCGGACGATCTTCAGGTCCGTCATTTCATCGGGTTCGGAAAAGCCGTACCTTGTGCACAGCAACCACTTCCAGACTTCTCCTTTCCTGGCACAGACACAAATTTCCGATACATACCTCGGAGGGAGCTCGTGGTATCGCGGTAAGCGACTAGAAGCAGGGCTGCGCGAAAAGGCGCAGAGGGAAAATTTGATCGAACGAGATATTGTGGTGGCATTCCAGGACCATGCAGGTTATCCGCATAGTCTATGTGAGCATGTCGTTGAGGAACAAAGTACCAATCAGGAGAACTCAGGGCCGTATTCTGGTCCCACCTCGACCGTCTGCTGTGTCGTTTATAATCTGTCTAAACGCACGGTGCGAGTTTGTAAAGGTTGCCCATGCGAAGGAATTTTCCAAGATTTCGAGTTGCGATGAAAGAATATGTCTGATTACAACGATTTAACCCATCATGTCCTCAAGCCTAAACTGATCGCGAATGTAATCGTCTTCCACTAAATCATCAAAAGTCGACCAAAAACCATCGACTCCGAACGCATTCGCATCAACTGGAAAAAGTCCGTTCCAATTCTGAGGTTGGCTGCGTTTCAAAATATCCATCATCTCCCGCGTCAGTGTTTCAAAAATATCCCTGAACCGTTTTGTCGACGGCCATTGCTCTGAGATAGCGAACAGAACACTCGAACAGGCTCGGATATCTTCCAACGCGACGAGGTCGGGCCTCTCCTTCCTAGTCCAGGTGGAGTATAGGAGAGTCAAACCGGCCGTGAAGATAGAATGTAGCGCCAGGAGATTCCAGCCCAAGGGCCTTCGCTGATGGAGCACTTTGTAATGTTGGCAGATGTCCCCAGCTGCCCGAGCACTCAGTGTGAGATACTCTACAGTCTTCAGAGCGTCTCCTTCGGTTTCATTCTTTGCCATAGTGATACGTCGCTGAAGGAGCATACGTAGTGCCTTGCTGTATTGAATATCGAAGAATTCCTTTGTATCGTACATTGAGTAACCAGGGAGAACGGAGGAGACATATACCGGGACCGGGGCAAGGAGTCGCCAAGCATCCAGCTCATACCGGAAACAGTCAATCTTTTCATCGGAAGCTTCTTGCACGTCGGCACCAAATATCTCTCGGTGAATGCGGCTTTCCAGTCGTCGCAAATGGCACATGTGGGTGAACGATTGGTATTTTCTCGAGTCATGTACCTGTTCGCCGGTAAGTATCCAGTAGCATCATACTCATTCGAAATCAAATGACAATTACCGGAACATCGATCTCATGTTCTGCTAGGGCAAATGGTCTGCCAAGGGTCAATGAGACCGCTCGATCCAAAACGTACGCACTCCAAAAGACACGGTTGCGCAGATTCAGATCGTCTTCATTCAATTGCCTCGCCCGAGAATCACGGAGATTGCGGTGAAGACCCATCTCTACCGCGTGTCGGATGGCAAGCCCGATAATGTGCCAGCTTCCAAGATTTGACACATTACTGGGAGTTCGGAGAAGGTAGACGGCGATCAATAGGAGGGCTTGGACCCGTTGCAGGCTCTGGCTCGCTAGAGCGGAGTCGATATGGCGAAGGGCACGTGTAAAGTATGTCTAGGCGCGTTTCAGAATCGAATATCTCTCCTTGGGATCCTGTGACGCGACATACCTCTGGGCTTGTACATCGACGCATCTCCGGGTGCAGCTGAATGGTCCTCGCAGCAATAGCGTAAACCATATAGAGTAAGAAGAGGTTGTGGGCATTGTGATCCTTGTCCCTAGTTGTCTGACGGAATAAATCCCGAAGGGATACCTCGTCGAGAAATGGATATCGAGGATGCACTCGTTGAAAAAATGTATCGACCAACACATCTTCTTGATCTGTGGCCTCGGACTGCTCTGGCATCGGTGTCTGACCAGACACAGTAGTGTCATTGTCTCTAACCCTTTCGGTTAACATAGACTCAGATAAGATCCCCTCCACGAGCCTAGAAAGCGAGAAGCCCGATGTTGCACCGATAAATGACGGCTCTGCAGCGGCGTTCATACTCAAAAGCACAACATCCGTTGATAGCTCGCCATGGTAGTCGACCGGCGAGATGGAATGTGGGGCGACTTCATGAGTGCAGCTTTCATTTCTCTGGGACTGGAGGCGGTTCTGTAGCTCGGCCACTTGTTTTTCTAGTCTGCTAGCATGTTGTACCAGTTGCGAGTGCTCTATGGTGTGGAAGGCATCAAGCCCTGGCAATGTTGGCCAAGTACAGTCTGCGATCCTTAGAATCTCCACACTGTTCCTCATTTTCAAAGATATAAATTTCAAAACATACTGGATCTTGACCGCTCACACGCCGAACATACGGGGAGCTCGCCATTACACTATCTCTGTGTCAGTAATCATCGTCGCTTCAACGCATCATCACGCCCTTGCCTTTGTCTTACGGCGCTTGCAGCGCTCACAAGCAATGGATGCCCGGGTTCTTCGATGTGGTGGCATAAACAAGATGGGAGGTGATAGGAGATGGCGGCAGGGAGGTTAAAGCGGAGAACGTTCCTATATTTACCCCGACTCTATGGTAGACTAACCTATATAGGCAGCTAGCTATAGAAATTCGACATAAACTTTGATCCGGATCGCTGATAATAAGATAGCGAGACAGCTGTAGACGTCTATTTTCACAAGGATAGAGAGTAACGAATAATATGTCACAATGAGTTTGGAGAAATAAATTAAAAGTTGCCAAAAACCCAAGAAACTACAGAATGAATTATAGTGCTGCAGTAAAGCCGCTACAATTTTATGGACTACCTAAGTATGTATGCATGCCCGATGTATTCAAGTAGATGACTATTGACAGCGTGAGTGGCAGTAAAAATCCATTTGTGACATCGAAAATGATTATGCTGCCTGATAAATAAGGCAATAGACCTTTCATGCCTGAGATATCAGGAGACACGGCAACTGGGCCACAACCAATCACATCTGAGCTGTCATCCCCATTGAAGACCCTCCATTTCCACCCCGAATCAGCCGGGAGCTGCTCAAGGTTTGTTTTCCACAGAAAACTGCCAGTTGAATGCTGCAATGCCCCAAGATATCTCTTCCGCACCAGGGGCTTCCTCTTTGACACCCCAGGCCCCCGTCGAGAAACCGTCGGCCCCTCCCGTCAACATCCTCCCCTCGCTGATAGCGCGGACCTACTCGATTGCGCACCCAGCACTCCTTTTGGCATTGGGCGCTACTCGCTTCGAAGAATTGGTGGCTGATCCCACTAAGGAGCTTATTTCCGCCCTACCATGGCTCACCCTTCTACAAATTTTCTACGTGATCGTTTGCCTTCCACCCGCTGGGTCGACATCGTCAACGGAGACGAGTGCGTCCGCCCCGGCTGATGGCAAGTCAAGTCTTCGGTCATCTGGGCCGGGTGGTGCCGTGCGTCATGGAAAACATGGGAAGCGGAAGCAACACGCCAACAGTTGGGCGTGCATTTGGTCCCGGTCACTGGTACGCGATGTTTCTCCAATTAAGTGAGAACTGTGGCCCATTGATACTGACATGATTGTCTAGCCGGCCCTCCTCTCGCTCTCTCTGACCTTTGCATTGGCCACCCCAGTGCTAACAATCCTTCTGGTTCTATTCGGCGCACCGCTCACAACACACAATTCCGAGACCGTCCTGTGTGCGGCTCACATGGCCGTTCTATCCGCGACGGCCCTGATCTACGTTCACGGAGTGGATCGCGCTGTGTGGAACGAGGTTTGGGGCATTTCCCGTCCCGCTGATGCGGTCTGGGGCAGTGCGCTCGGCACAGGCTTGGGGGCCTGGTTTGGCGCTATTCCTATTCCTCTTGACTGGTGAGTTACACGTTCATCTTGTACTTCAAATGCGAAAGACCCGGCTAACTCGATACATGAAGGGACCGACCTTGGCAGGCATTCCCAATCACGATTCTCGTTGGAGCCTACATCGGATATGCCGTTGGCTCCTTGATTTCTCGTACTCCATTGGTTTACGGCAAGCGTGTCAAATTCACACCAGAGGACTCGAGCGACCCCGAAAAGAAGACTAACTAGGGAATTTGTCGTGGACTCCCTCTATATTCGCGCAATACGACATATCTCTGAAGATACATGTCTGGTTTGTATTAACATAGAAGCCCTTACACAACTGCTGCCACCAGTTATAATTGGTTTTAGATATCCAAAGAAATAATTTGTTAATATAAACTCCTTCAATGGAATCTTCTTGCTCTATAGCTTGCTGTGATCCTCCTCTCATGCGGCTCTGAGCCTTTGCTGAACTTCGCTGCACCTGTGATGGCTTCCTGCGAAATCACCTTGCCCCCAGCATTGAACTTCTGCGACATCGCATCCTGGAACTAGGAGGCCTCATACGCACTGTAGTAGCATGACTGGCGATCTGTGTTGAGACATAGCTCAGGAAATTTGCCATCACAATAGCTTCCTTAAATGATTCTGCTTTAGGAACCACCCGGCCGGCCAGTCCCATAGCCAACGCTTCCTGGGCGCTTACAGGCCGACTGGTCAATATCACATCCAACGCAAGGCCAAGGCCGACAATGGCTTGCAGGCGGACCGTTCCTCCATCGATCAGAGGCACACCCCGGCGCCGACAAAAGATCCCAAAGACTGCGTCTTCTTCAACCACGCGCATATCTGCAAGTAGGCTCAGCTCTAGACCTCCTGCGACGGCTTATCCGGAGGGAGCACATATGACTGGATTTTTGATACTGAGTCTAGATGGACCTATTGGCCCCCAGTTGCGACCGTTGACAGGTTGGAGGTTGTCGCTGGGTGTGTCATTGTTTGCATGTGCAACGCTATGGAGATCGGCTCCTGCGCAAAAGCTACTACCGACACCTGTCAGGACACACACTTTCTGTTTCGGGTCATTCTCAAAGACAAGAATGGCTTCGTATAGCACCTTCGCAGTCCGGGGGTCGACGGCATTCTTCCTATCGGGGCGATTTATTGCAATCACCGAGACGCTAGAATACGAGGAAGTATCCATTGTTACTCTTGTCCTTTTCCGCCATATAAAAATAAGGAAAAGTAATTGAAACAAGACGAAATGTTGCTGGTTGAGCGCTTTATAGACCTTCCATGCCTCGGCTAAACCCCACTCTCTCGACCTCCAACCATCACCGTCACTCGGGACCTACGGGGCATAGCGCCATGTCTTCAGCATGTATAATCTGTCATAAAAGAAAGGTGTCGCATTTATCATCCTTTGGCGCATTCTCCAGTAGTTGCTAATAGTTACAGGTGAGGTGCGACTTTGCGACGCAAGACCCTTGCACCAACTGCAAAAAGTCGGATGTGGAGTGCAGGTAAGTAGACCCGCACTAGGGAAGTCGAAAATAATCGAAAATAATTGATTCCCCTCAGACCATATACAAGGAAGCGCAAGAGGTTCACCAACAGCCTGTCGCCAGGGCGGAATGTGTCAATCTCTGCTCCCTTGAGTCAGACACCGCGGAGCTCACAAGTTCCTCCCGAGTCAGCAGAGCCGCAAGTGGTTTCACAGCGGAATTCTTTGAGCGTGTCTCATGGGCTAGTTCCAATTGAAAGGAATACAGCCGCGGCCGCTAATAATGGCGAGCCGTTCATTAAAGAAGAGAGCTACCGCGGCCGCAGTGAATATCTCGGCGGCAGCGTCCCGTTTGATGAAAATATGGTCAAACCTGGTCGCGAAACTACATACACCAACCCCAAAGCATCAGCCACTGACTTGCAAATGCTCCGCGAGCAGGGTGCCTTTGAGTTACCTCCAGTATCAGTCCAAACAGAGCTAATGGCCAGTTTTGACATGCACTGTGCACCCTGGACACCGGTCGTGGACCCGAAATGGCTCGATGAGAGTGCACCGCGATCAATGCTGCTCCTCCAGGCTGTCTTTCTGGCTGGAAGCAGAGTCTCCAAAGCTCATCTGGACTATGGGTCCAGCGAAGTGTTCTATCGAAGAGCAAAACTACTTTTCTTTTTTGGTGGTTGTGACGACCCTTTGATTTCTATTGTGGCCGCCTGCCTGCTGCATTGGTATAACCCGGTTGGGCCTGAGGATGTCTCTACCGATACCAGTGGGTTTTGGATTCGAACAGCTGGAGCAATGGCCTTTCAGATTGGGCTACACAAGGAACCCTCGCCGAATTCCCGGGATCGGGGGTTCCGCAGAAGGCTGTGGTGGTCTCTCGTGGTATGTATCTCGTTGAATCTGCAGCTCATAAAGTACTATTCACTAAAATCCATAGGTGAGAGACAATATAATTTCTGTTGGCGTCGGCCGACCACGAACTATCAATCTCCGGGACAGCGATGTGCTTCCGCCATCACTTAATGACTTCCCCGTGAACAACTTCAAGTCTCAATTATTCCTAGCGTACTGTACGATATCCCGGCTTCTGGGAGACACGGTCGAATCCCATTTGCGACAAGAGATCTCTCGGCAAAGGCGGGTCGATCTCGAGAACGCTGTCTACCGATGGGCAAAACAAGTTATTCCAAGATTACGATCATCCGTCGCAGCTCAAGATGATGCGGCTATTTGCAACCTCGACGTTCAACAACTGCTGGTCATGTATTTCGTGGTGCTCACTATTCTCCATCGCTCGCCTACGCCAGGTAGCGTACCACCCGCAGCATCGCTAGTCGCATCTTCGTTTATTGCTGGGATTTACGAGGAATTCTTGCTTCGCGATGAGCTTCGATACTTGGGCCCTGTCTTTGCATTCTATCCACTCTGCGCTGGACTGTCACTCCTTTCTAGCTGTCGCTATACCCACCTACAGAGTACCGCCGAACATGAATTAACAGTCATGAAACTCTCCCTTCAAAAGCTATCCGAAAGGTGGCTCTCGGCTGTCGGACCGTTGCGTGCGCTGAACAAGTTGACCGAGAAAGTTCGAGAGCTGGGTCCCTTTGAGGGTCCATCACCTACGCTTGATCCGGACGCAGCCTCCTTCTTCGAAGGGTTCGACACAAAACTTTGCAAACAATGGCAAGCCATTGGACACTCCTCAGAGCCAATGAGTGGGAACACGGGCATTACGTCTACTTGCACTATGGCCGACATTCAAGACTCTAATGATGCCCTTCGGTCCCTGGACGCTCCACCGGGACAACAGGCGGATACTTACGACTTTGCCTCTCTTGATGTGAGTTTGGATCCATTCAGTAATAATTGGGAAGGCGCCGGATTTGACTGGAGTGGCTCCTGGCTACTCAATGTATGAACACAACAAAACTGGAGAATTGGCGTCACACAGATCGGTCTCGGTTCATTTCATTTCAATGTACAAAAGCTCCTTTCTCATGTTCTCTTTCAAAACACCACCACCGTCTGTTATATCGGCTTTAATTAAGTCGTCTATACTTACCTCTATTGTCCTTTTGCACCTCAAGATCATAATACTGCCCGAAGTGATATAGAAATCCGGGATTAGCAACGGTACTGCTGATGGTTTTGGGAAGCTGGCGAGACGAATGGCCTGCCTTATCAATATCTCGACCTTTGGCCCAATAATGAATTGAGGAACATGCTTACTGCTCAAGCCTTTACGGATTGTGTGGCCCCTGAACGGCTTTTCAGACTGCGCGACGATAAGCAAAAATACAACTTCGTCAGATCCATGGGGTCGTCGACATCCGACACAGAAAGCGGTTGAGATGACGAAATTGGGAGGAGCCGATTCGGTGGTCGAGTATATGTCTGACGACCCGAAACGAATGCCCTGTGTTCAGGGCACTATCGCTGTCAATTTTCTCTCAGCACGCATATTATACCGGCCGGGAAATGCATACCTCCTTCCATGAATCTGCCAACCTTTCGTTTGTCGGGTATATCTCCCCCGGTCATGATGGGCCCCCGACAACTTTCAATTTTCTGACTTCCCAACCTTGGAAGGTTTTACATACGTGTCAGCCATGCGACCTTGGAAGTACCAAGGTTTGCTTTCACTTTCAACTCTTCATCCTCCTCTTCCCAATTTTGATCATTTCAACTTTCTTTTCATCTGCTTGCCAACCTTTTCTTCATTTTTCACTTCTACCTCGAATCGAATCGAATCGACCATGGACGTCACGCGATCATGGTTCCCTAGTGGACTAGACGAAGGCGACAAGGTCAGCCTGGATGAGCCCGCGCTCTCGAAATGGGTGATCGGAAACTAGTCAATACGCATGGCTACCAATCTGACGAGACGCATGTTCCCTCTTACGCCTGTGCTCAGTTCAAATGCGCCAATGCTACTAATCAGGAAGAGTGCTTTATGCGCCTTTACGAAGTTCCATTCATTGGTTATGAGCGCGCGGAACGAGCTACCCTTGCCCGACAAGCAGCCGAAATCACACCCCCGGAGCTGAATGCATACAAAATCCTCACCGACAATAGCTCGCAAAATACTCCTCAGTTACAAGCATATAAGCAAGGCACTCAAGGTACCAATGGACCAATTCCTGGAGGGCATATCACATGGATCATATAGCAGAAGGTGCCTGGAAAATGCCTAGGAGGTGTCAGAACTGCCTTTGTGTATTGGGATTTGAAAGCAAGTGAACGACAACGTGTCCGTGAGGCCTTCCTTCAAGAGCTTCCGTGAGTTGACCACATTTCAACTACTACCGGGTAACCTTGAAGCGCTAACAATATGATTATTAGTAAGATCATGAAAATGGGATATTTCCCCCAGCACCTTAGACCTCACAACTTGATCTGGGATGAGCTTGACGGTGCTCTGTATGCTTCTTATCACTTTATAATCCCAGAAGTTGATGTTGACTGACATATCGCTGCAGTTACTTCGTTGGTTTCCAGGATGCAATGCCTTTCAAGGCCAAAGGAACTGTCGGTGAAGAGTGGTTCCCATATTTTGATCTTGCTAGGCCCCCTCAGAGAAATTACCGGAGGGAAAGGGATTACACGGGAGATATCTCGGAGTGGTCCCTTTGATTTAATGATTTGTTCAGACGACAGGTTATGGTTCCAGGAGAGTGAGCAATGTGTTTGCCGACTTCCGATTCGGGAGCAAAAATCTCGAGGCGCTTCGTGGTAGCGGAAGCGTAATGGACAAGGTTAACTCTTTAGCCGCGTCGAGACGTTTACAGGCGATCAGTGGAACCTATCGGAAAATCAGGAAGTTGCACACTTGCAATCCTGATTACTGTGGTAACATCGCCCCAGAAATCATCCTCTCAGAGGAATACAGCTCTGTTCAATCCGTTCTAGATGATTTAGAGGACCTCCAGGTTTGCATAGCTTTTAGAACCACAAAGCCAGCTTATATCATGGATGCAACGACCTGGATCGCTCTGCTTATCCATGTGCTCCCCGCCTAGAAAGACTTACTATCTCGCAAGACTATTACTTTGGAGAGCTTTCTAGCAAAATCGAATTCAATCGCCTGAAAGAGCTCCATCTCCATAAGACTTGTGTCAATTCTGAGGATTTGAAGTCATTTCTCATCAAAGCCAAGGAGACCCTCGCTATTTTCACGCTTTTTGAGGTGATGATGGAAGCTATCTCACTATCATTGTTGCCGGACTATCCATCGATTTGGTATTCTATGACTCCAGCCTGGCTTGGTCCACCTCCAGTCCCTATTTTTACAACCACAAATGTCTATGCTCCAACCTCGACAGACTACACCCTGACTTCAACAGCCTACACTCCAACCTCAACAGCCTGGGCTCCAACTTCAACAGACTACACTCCGACTTCAACAGCCTACACTCCAACCTCGACTCCGTATTATGCTCAACCAGCTGGACATCTACCACCCGGACGAGGTTATACCCCTTCAACCCCTACATACCTCCTGTAGATCATGAGGATGTTCTTTGGAAGTCTGTTTGGGATTTCTTCGGAGAAAATCTATCGCTACAGAGATTCTCCATGACAAAGATCGCCGACGGCACCCATCAGATCTCTATTCAAAGCACCGACGTCTCGATCGAACCAAGCGATAATGATGTTGAAACTGCGGGAATTTCGTTTCATCAATGGATCAGCCAATTAACCCCTATGCATTTACTGGATTCACCTAGTATCCAAAGTTGGCCGGACGACAATCAAAGTAAGTAAATCAAGAAAGTGTAGCTATCCAACAATCTTTCTAACGACATTTAGAGACATGGTTCAACGAAATGATACCTGCAAACAGCAGCTCACCGAGTCCCGCCATATGTGACTGTGAGAATGTATCCGGGGCCTGCTGCTTTGGATATGGCCGATATGGATTGGAACTCTGAGCAGGCAAGACGAGATGTGGTAGAAGATTGGACAATATCAGCTGCTCTGCGTGTCCAGAATTTGTTAGTTGTGATTCTGTACTAGAAACAACAATACCCAACGGTTCAAGTCGATCTTTAGATTTTCTGAAATCCGTGTAATCAAATCACAAACCTAGCGCTAGCTTTGCATCGTGGCCGTATCAGACTGCCTTCTCAGTAATTTGCAATGGCCTGCTAATGATATTCTTTTCATATATGTACAGCTAGATGAAACATCGAAAAGAGCAGCCAAGGTTAGATGCTATATATGGCATAAATCTTCATGCTTGACTTGCTCAAAGCTTTGAGCTCGCCTTTTGCAAGGATCGGTGACCAGATGCACGGTTCGCCGGCAGATCGACTCCCCAGGCAATGCGGCAGTCCCATTTCAGATGTTCCTCACCTCCAGAGTTAGGGCTAGCAGTGCCACTGACTGTAACAATGTCATGGAACACCTGCTCTCCAACACCACCCTCGGCACTCAAGACCCAGCGACGAGCAATCTCTGTCGTCACAGGGTCATTATCGCGTTCAGCATCAAGCGCCAGAAGAACACCGGACAGAATCCAAGCCAGAGTAAACATAAAGCGACGGCCACCAGCGACAGTTGAGGCGGGATCCTGAGTTGTAAAACGAGCACGCAAAGCTGGCCATGCAGTTGTCAGGGCATTCCGCAGATCCGCGCTCTGAATCAGGGTCAAGGTACGGTCAAGCCATGTTCCAAATATCTTCAGATTATCCTTCTTGATAAGGAAGCGGACGAACTCGCTGGCTAGCACGTTGGTAGTACCCTCCCAGATAGAATTGACTGCGTTATTGCGCATAATCCGAGAGATATTGAACTCGGGCTCGTCAGCCTCATCCATATAGCCGACTCCACCCATAGATTCCTGGCATTCCTGAATTCCCGCAGTGGCCATCTTGCTGATGACAGCCTTGGCAGTGGCAGTTAAGGTACGGAAAACCACCTCGGCTTCCTTGCCAGGTTGAGGTAGATGCGCGAGTTTATTGGATGACGGTGTTTGGTCCTCAACAACCCCAAACAAAGCGACCGTGAACCATGCAAGGTTCATTCCACCCCGATGCTTTACTTCTATATCCGCGAGAAGTCGCAGATGCATTGGGATCAACCAGAGCGGTTCGCCGACAGTAGTCCTCGCTTTCGCAAAGCTCTTCGTGATGCTGATGGCTCGGCGCCAACCGGCAAGCGATCCAATGAAGGTATGGAGCCGGGTGACGTTGAGAAGAGGCGCAATAGTGACGATACCCTGGTCTAGTTCCCCAATGAGGTGCGCACGCATATCCTTTAGTTCCAATTCGGCTGTCGGCAATTCTTTGGTACCGAGTTTGTTCTTTAGTCGATGGATTCTGACGCCATTAGATACAACTCTGGAGACACCGTCGGCACCGACCACGGTCCGTCGCAATGGGGCGAGGAACGTGCTTAGCTTTCCGGACGGTGTTTTCGCGAGTAAAAGCGCAAGGTTTGCATCCGTTGCAGAGGAGAAGAACTTGAATCCACTGATGAGATAGTCGCCATCACCCAGTAGGTCGGAGCCCGAGGAGGTAGCTAGCGGCGAGTATGTGGCCCATGTTTCGGTGTTTTGGACATCGCTGCCACCGGCTCTCTCGGTCATCCACTGGCCCGAGGTCCAGTGACCATCCTTTTCTGAGATCAGTCCCTGGAACGCAGCATGGAAAGGATGTGTAGATGGCAGCTTGTTGATTCTAGATGAGAGAATAAAGGCAGCGCCATCGGTCATGCTAATCGGACAGGAGTAGAGGCCAGAGGAAGGCGAGTACAAATAATTCCTGGAATCATGGCATGAGTGATAGCGTAGAAAGATCGCCGACAAAATACTCACAGCGCATACTGAACTGTTCTCCGATCGACTCCTAAACACTTATCATAGCCAGCCGAGACGATCCTAATCGGATCAAGTTAGATCATGCACGTCATCTTGAAGGCGCGATTTATAGAGGATACCTATTCCGAGCACCCCATTTGCCTAATTGCTTCCAGCCTTCCGCGGTCACCAATCGGTCATAATCATATCGCTTACCCCAAACGTTATGGCTCTTCACATATGGCACGTTACGCTCAGCATCGGCGCTCCATTCACGGACCTGCTCGGAAATAGCCTCGGCACCGAACTGGGTGAGATGCGGTTGTACAGATTGCAATGTAGCGGATGGTAGGTACCCTGAATAATGTTTAGGAATGATAAACTAAGTATGAGTGAGAAACTCACATGCCAGTGTCCGTTGAAGGCTGGGATCCGACGTGTAGGTATTCTCCAACGGGCCAGGGTCGGTGATGTAGCCGCTATCTGCTGTCGCAGGCAGGGGTGAGGACATGGTGTGGTTCTTAGAGTTGAATTCAATAATAGAAAAAGAAAACAGACGAAAACATTAAAATGAGTTTTATAGAAGCACTTGAAGATGCGGGGGAGATGGACCTCGGCCGTCGGTTGTCTCATGGAAGTCCAATCTCATACTTGACCTCCGTAAAAGCGCCGACTGTCTGTTCGTGCCACCTTGTTGACCCTGAAAGATGATATCATCTATATTTTACCGTTCCCGCTAGATAATCGGGTCACAGCCTGCAAGCCAACACAAGAGATACTTGTTAAAATATCATAATTGGCTTTGAGAGACTGTTCTAGCTATAACAAGCCTTCATGAAGATATCAGCGCTCCATGAAATAATCTGATTTTTTATTTATTGTTGCTTTTTCAAACAGCTAAAACTCTCACATCTCGTGCAGCGTGTTGTATCCGGTCTCAACCAAGCTGCGTGGTCCTCGGGCATCCGAGCAGACATGCCAGTAGAACAGGCCGCCCAGTTTCAACGAGGTCACGAATTCCGCCTTCTGTTTTACTGTTTCAGGGGTATCATATGTGACAAAACCGCCATCATCTCCAACACAGAATGACGCACCAATGCTGCTGTCATGGTACTCCTGTGTGCCCGGTCGGGGCAGATCGCGATAGTCAAAAACACCATCCTCGCCACCGCTTCCAGTATACCGCTGACCAGGGCCGTCGCTACCCAGGAATGATCGTCCATAAACCGGGACACCCAAAATAATCTTTTTAAGGGAGACTCCTTGCCGCATGACGTAAGAAACTGCCGAATCACCAGACACACCTGAGCCATAAAGCTGCGCCTGATGGCCCGTCTCGGATTCCCATGGTCCAGCGAAATCATAGGTCATGAGGTTGATCATGTCAAGATGCTTTTGTGCCGCAGCAAGGTCAATGTTCCGCAATGCCCACTGGCCAGCAGGGAGGGCGGTGGTAAGGACATATCGTGGAGCGGGTAACACCTCCCGCAGGCGCGCGAGGAGACGAACATAATCTTTTCCTTGCTTGGAATCAGAGGGATGCTCCCAGTCGACTGCATGGCAGATATAGTGAGTCAGGTGCTTCCAACTTGCGTCGTAATCAAAAACATAACGCGGCCTTACTGTCAATCCCATCAATTCCAAATTGGTCCACCAGTGCCCGCGCAGTGCGAACGAAAGTGTCCACTCGAGAGCGGCTGTTGGCTACAGCGGCGAAGTTCTCACTGCCTTTTCCACCACCGCCAACAGAGAGGATGACCCTCATTTTAGAGTACTGTTGCTTCAATTGGACGAAAGCTCTAAGACAACCTTCTGCGCCGTCAACAGGCATCTGGGTATCAGCCCATTCATCACTCAACTATGACGCAGCGTCAATGGATATTCCCACATTGGAGCCGGTGCATTGAACTTAAACTTACATAGACAGTACCGTCATCTTTCACCCTGGAGAAACCAATTTGAGATTAGCGCGTCAGCCATCTACTCGAACTCGGGCCTTTGAGCGGCGATAATTGGCTGTGTTTTACCAGGCAAATGCGTAGAACACGTGTGAGATAAATCCCAAGCGCAAAGATGAAGGAGGCTCCTTTCGATAGATTCTCCAATTCGGATAGTAGGCCGCGTTTGTGTACAATGGCACTTCGTATGAGACATGGGACTCGGCGGCGGGGTCACGACCCGCGCCCAGTCGGCGGAAGAGCCTGGAAGCTGAGAACATTATCAAGACGTCAAGGTTAGTGTGAAAGGTCGCGCATTGGGTTGAACAACAGAAAGGACTGAAGCTGAACAGAATTCCGAAAAAAGTGACAAAGGGAAAAAGGAAGAGAAAGGATTGAATTGGAAATTGGAAAGTGCCCAGAACATGCTGTGTGTTTCCTTTTTTGGAATACGTCACGTGGATCTTCGCCTCGATCCTTTTATTAGTCTCCCCTTTGCACTTGCACCAATTGGGTGGAGCGTATGATCAGGCAGTTTGCAGATGCAAATCTGAGGTAACTTCACTAGGCACCTTGGCGTAGATGGTCAAGTCAACAATTGGATGCAGTGAGATGCGGGGAATGCGGGCTAAGCATATGCGCAGCACTTTTCAACAAAAGTACGGAATACAACTGCTGATGTTTCGCATCTTTGTAGCAGATGCGGGGTTAAGGTTGCTTGCCAACTGGCAATCTGCACTGCCTTGGAGTTCACTTACGAACTGTTTTGGATCCAACGCACGCCGGATCTTCTCCGGCGATCTCCGTATAGCGTGTGGTCCGATCTAATCAGCGCAGACTCAGTAAGAAAAAAAACCCTATCAGGGAAAGCTAAGACACAACTGTGGATCGTCCTGCATGAGAGACGCACCCCGTGTTCAAAAGATTTTGCAAAACGGCGCCAGATCGCCGTAAAACGAAATTATTGTGGACGATCATGACTCGTGAAAATACGAATTCAGCGTCAATCTCGTGTTGGTGCTCCGGTGAGCAATCTATTCTGCGAAGCCAATGACCAAAAAGGGCGATGCTTTGACATTTTGCTAATGTTTGCTTTTTTCGACTCGATAACTGAAGCGTGTACCCGTGGACGGAGTACGGAGTAGACGGGTATTTGATTCAAGGCAGAGTTTATAAGATGAGGCTGGGGAACAATAGGCAGCGATGCATATCCGGGTTTATGCTTTCCCGCCGAGTCTGGAATTTCTTACTACATTCTGCAAGGATACCGTTTGACTACCTATGTTGTACAAGAATAGTGGGCTGCATAAGCGGCCGTAATCTTCTTGGTCTTCTTCGGTAGTCTCCTCAGATAGTCTTTTTAGATGTCTGGTTGTATAGATATTTTCTGCCCCTTCTGAGTTCCTTAGACAGGGCTTAATTGTGAAATGAACTTTTCTACGTATAACCTTCAACATCGCATGAGAAAGACCTAAATCACCTTCAAGTGAGGAGAGGACGATTACGAGAAAAGAAAAGAAAAGAAAAAAGTGGTATTTTCAACGGCCAAACGCGTTCATGGCAATGACCAATCCCGAAACAGCCGGTTCTTGGTCGCTACTTCGTCTTTATTCAGATAACCTTACTTCGACTACTTTCCCGACGAAAGGAGTGTACACAATTGCGGACCATGTTGCGAATCTGAAGATCGATGAGCGCAGGACTTTGTAGTGTTTACCCTGGTTAAAGCATGGCCTGTGTTGACAGGAAGCAAGACCTGTAGCTATCAGAGATGTTTATAGTAAGAAGCTCATAGAGATGTCCAAAACAGACATATCGTTGAAGAGTATCTCGAAGTATGTACCCACTGTAGCATGCCTATTTGTGATTCGTGCCTTCAGTATCTTCATGCAACACTAGAGCTTAACAGCCTTGTTCAATTCGGCCCATTTCTTCTCTCCCTCAGACCCAGGTTCTGGTGGCACCAGACCATTCATCTTCCACAAGTCTCTCGACGCTTCTGCGATGAAATACTCCCAATCCATCCCCTTCGGCTCGAATACTGGATTGAGGATCTCATCAACATCAGCCAAGAATCGCCGTTTGGCTTCGTCGCTCTTGAAGGCACGGGCAACGTGATAAATTGTCACCGCGGCAAAGTTGGTGTGAGGTTCGCCGCCAACGAATGCAGTACCGGGAATGTCCTCAGAGAAGTGGACTTGGACGTAGAATGCAGGTAGGCCGCGTGAGACGTACAATGTGGTGATCGACTTGGCGAGTTGTTCTTTTTCAGCAGCCGTAATGGTGTTTGGACTATGTCTGATGTCCCAGGTAGGCATTTTGAAGGAAGCCGCCGCTTTGTTGTGAGAACAAGTTGTTGAAAATGACTTCAAAGTGAACGTCAGATGGATTTGTCTTCATCAACTTTCATATAGATTGGATCCTGCTCATTCTTATCCTGCGCTGAAGATCGTGAAGTCCCAGATACCTACCTAGGTAGACGTCGAAGATTAGTGATATCAAAGATTGTCGCGTCATCGCCCATATGCATGATCACCTTTTTTCTCCGTCTCACATAGTCTCGTGTCGGGGAGATAGTGTAATAGAAAAATTTGGAATACGGGTCCACTTTGTGGCACTAAGCATTTTGATCATTTCATCAGCCTCGGGCCCCGATTTTGATTACTATATCGTACAACTCCTTGATCTTGACAGTAGTAACACCAGCCTTTGCTCGGGTTGTATATTGGATCACTCGGGTTGCATGTTAGATCGCCCGGTCTAACATTCAAAATAGGATGACATCGAGCACATCGGTGTCTCGTGGGGATGAGGCTTTCTTCGTAGCCGGACCGGGGGGTGACGTGGGTCCCGAGGCCCATCATTTTGATTACCCTAACCTGTCAAGTATATCCCAGGTCAAGGCTTGAGCAATTGGATTCGCTGGCAGATTACAAATTGAAATGGCAGATATAAAAGACCGCTGATCGCAGTATAGGGCTTTTTCTCCCCATCAGCAATCAAATAACCAACAAGATGTCCAATGAATTGATCTTTATAACCGGAGCCACGGGCTTCATTGGGAGCGCCACTGCAGTGGAAGCTCTCAAAACAGGCTATCGATTGCGAGTTTGTCTTCGAAAGCCATCTGAGCAACTGCAAACTCTGCTGTCCAAGTATAGTGACCAATTCGAATTTGTTATCATTCCAGACCTCACCGATGAGGCGGCATTCGACAACAAGTTGGACGGCGTGGACTACGTCCTTCATCTTGCATCCCCCCTTCCCCATGGGACCGACAAACAAACATACTTTCCCCCGGCTGTGAAAGGGACCACTGCCATGCTGAAAGCAGCAGCAAAGGTTCCGACCATCAAGAAAGTCGTGGTTACGTCATCCATTGCGGCCTTGATTCCAATGTCTGGCCTTCCTACTGGTGGTGTGGTGAAAGGTATCTTATATCCCGATTTTTGATCCCCGAGTAAGAATTGCATTGACACATCTCCTAGAGGACAACAAATGGGACTTTTCGGTTGATGAAAATGGGGATTTCCAGGACCCTCAAAACCCGGCTGCAACACCAATGAAACTGTATCAGGCCTCCAAACTTCTTGCAAACAACGCAACTTGGGAGTTTAGGGAGACAGCCAAGCCTCAGTATGCATTGGTGACACTGCACCCCGCGTTTGTATACGGGCACAATCTTGTTCAGAGTTCTGCCGACGGAGTAAACGCCGGGTCCAACGGTGGTCTGTGGAGTATCATCATGAAGGGCGATCCCCATAAGAATTTGGTAGGAGTGCATATTGAAGATGTGGCCGAAGCGCACATCAAAGCACTGGATCCGAAGATCGTGGATGGCTCGAAATATCTACTGGCCGGGCCGAAGACAACGGGCTCTCAGATTGCACGCATTGTACACAAACACTATCCAAATTCTGGAGCGTTAATATCTGAGGATTTCCAGGATGTCTCGTTCCCAGTTGATACGACTAAGGCGGAAACGGAGCTTGGGATTCAATGGCGCTCATACGAGGCGATGGTGCGGGATCTGATGGACCAGCAGCTCGGGTTCGTGTAAACATGTCTGTCAAAGCACATGTTGATAGACCAATAAATATAGTGCAACATGTCAGCCGTAGCCTCGATGTCAAATAAATAGCAATTGGATTGGGTGTTGGAGTTTAGTTCTCTGTGGTCCTGGTCGCTTCTGGTTTTCCATCTGTATTCGGTTTCCATCTCCCTTGTCTCCCTTTCGGCGTATGGTCATATATTTTCCACTAGACGAAAGATTCGAGCTTTTTAGTGAGAAACTTGCTTCCGATGTACCTAAGTTGTATGATTGTCTATGGGTTGAATTAGAGATCAAAATGCAAACCAGCCAAACACCGTGTCGCCACCTGATTTCTAAGGCGACAACCGGAGAACAAGCTTGGAACCTGGACAGCTCCGCAACCTTCAACAACCGAACTTCCTCCTCGATTCTCCTCCATGCCAATTTGAGCTGAAATACCCTCAGGATCTATTGCTGATACTCTCTTTCCACACCTTCGATTTCGTTCACGAAGAGGTCAGCATAGTCAATCGCATACACGCACCTAACTCGGGACGACCACCGATCGTCTCTTTACCCTCAGTCCTTCGCCTGAGCTTCATCGAGCCATGGCTGCCGACACTGAAAGCGCAGCTGCGCACATCATATCTGCTGAGCCGACGCGCGATCCCAGCTACAACGAGTTTTCTTTCACACCCTTTCTGCGCAAGAGCTTCGGCTTTGGACTCGCCAGCGATGTACCTGTCTGCAAAGCTTATAGTGAAGGACACTGCCCATTAGGACCTGTTTGTCCAGATCGTCACCCCACCCCGTCCCGTGTGACAACCTCGACTACCACAGCATCCGGAATGGCGCCATCTACGACACACGGATCGCTGGTTTGCAAACATTTCCTCAAGGGACTATGCAAGAAAGGACTGAAATGCGAATACCTCCATGAATACAACCTTAGACGAATGCCAGAATGCCAGTCATTTTCGCGATCCGGATACTGCACAAATGGTGACGATTGCCTTTACCAGCATGTCCGCGAGGAGGCACGCCTGCCGCCTTGCGAGCACTACGACCGCGGATATTGCGAATTGGGACCCCTATGTGCAAAGCGACATGTCCGTCGGCGCCTATGTGCCTTCTATCTGGCTGGATTCTGCCCTGATGGAAAAGCGTGTGCCAATGCCCACCCTCGCTGGCCGGAAAACCTACCACGGCCTACAATGCGCACTGAAAAGACGGAGGAAGAACTTGAGCGCGAACGAGTTCTCATCCGTGAAGAACAGGAACGAGAAAAGGAACGGGAACGTGAATGGCGAAATGAACGTGGTCGGGGTGGTGGATTTGGGCGGGGCCGCTTCCGCGGACGTGGAAGGGGTTAGGTGATTCTTATTGCAAGGGTTTTTTTATGGCGGCATTGCATGGCATGGAGTGAGGTGTAGCTTCGGCAAGGGATCCACGGGCTTCTTGGTTTCTTTTCATTTATGGTTCTTGCGCTAGTCCCGCGATACCCCATTGAACTTGACGCAAAGATATTCATGTTTTTTTTCCACTTGAGCTCAATGGCATGATTGGTGCTACAAGGGAAATCGACCCTTGCTGTATCGTACGGTATTTGCCGTCTGTTACACTGGCTTCGCCTGGCAATAATAGACCCGTAGTGCCGTGAAACTTTAATATATCGTAGTCAGCCACCGGACATGAGTACGCCGATGTCAGCTTACCCGATATAACTCATACGATAAATTCGGAGCGTTGTGCCGCAAACGTAGTGAAGAAAATGCTTAGGTACCATAAGCGATTCCATGACATCATGATAGGCACTGCATAGATGGTCTATATCCTCTTAATTCCGTTGCTAACTAAGAGCGATCTCCTTCTGCTGCAGAATCTAGAAAATTATCATCTTTACTAATGGTTCCGTAACTCTACTCGGCACTTGTTAGGGTGTGACGCCCACCCTTGGCGCGTAAACATTTTCATTTGTCAGTTCTCAGTAAGAATCACTCTCAATCTGAGTGGAACCTGTTCGGCCAATCATATTCCATTCTGCTCTGTCATCGATGACTGATAGCCTCGGAACCTTAGAACTAGCTGCAGCGAAGCTTTGTTGCGCTTGCTAATCATAGAGGTACTTAGAACACATACTAATTAATATGGTCGATGAGGTACCTGGGATATTACCCCCGGCGGGGTGTCAAGCTTTATAAATAGCTCCCCTCCCCGCTCTTTCTCTCTCGACTTTTCCTCTACATCGTTCACTCTACACTCCTCAAATTGTCATCATGGCTCCTAAGGTTGCAATTGTCTATGTACGTCTCGCAATGGCAATGCATTCCTCTCCCACTCACTAACTGTCCGACCAGTACTCCATGTACGGCCACATCAAGGCCTTGGCCGAGGCCGAGAAGAAGGGCATTGAGTCCGCTGGTGGTCAAGCCGAGATCTTTCAGTCAGTCATCCCTATTAATATTGCCCTTCACGTCATTTGATTGACGTTTGAGTCTAGGATCGCCGAGACCCTCAACGAGGAAGTCTTGGGCAAGATGCACGCTCCTGCTAAGGCCAGCTACCCCGTCGCTGAGCCCGCCGACCTCCTCGCCTTCGACGCTGTTCTGTTCGGTATCCCTACCCGTTATGGTAACTTCCCTGCTCAGTGGAAGACCTTCTGGGACAAGACCGGTGGTATTTGGGCCACCGGTGGCTTCTGGGGCAAGTACGCCGGTCTCTTCGTGTCGACCGGTACTCAGGGTGGTGGCCAGGAGTCGACTGCCCTTGCCTCGATGAGTACTCTCGCCCACCACGGCTTCATCTACGTCCCTCTGGGCTACAAGACCGTCTTCGCCCAGCTGAGCAACTTGGACGAGGTTCACGGTGGTAGCGCCTGGGGTGCTGGTACCTTCGCTGTAAGTTAAAACAACACACTCCGATACCTTTCTCTTGCTGACCATCCCGTCTACAGGGTGCCGACGGTTCCCGTCAGCCCTCCGCCCTTGAGATCGAGGTTGCCACCGCTCAGGGCAAGGCCTTCTACGAGACTGTTTCCAAGGTCCAGTGACTACATGACGGTACCGAGTCGAAGCCGGAGAGCTCGACCCCTGTTGCTGGGGAGGCCGCTCAAAAGACCGAGCAGGCTCCCAAGGCGCAGCAGGGTACTCAGGAGTCAGCCAAGAAGGAAAAGAGCAATGAGGGGCCATGCGGCTTGCCTAAGAAATGTACCATTCTTTGATTGGGTCCATATCTCTTCCTGCGTTCTCTAATCTTCGGCTTATCTCCCTGGGGCGTTCTCTTAGGCGTTTCGAATTCTTATGATGATACGGATACCATTTTCAATTCTCAACAGCCAACTATCTCTAGCCTAATGGAAGAATTTTATGGAAGAATTTTGTCAATTGCTTTTAACCCATTAAAACGTAGATGTTCAACTTTCTATAACTATCCATCTATGTTGCATAGATTGTTCACCTTCCATTACTAGTAGTATTCTGCTCAGCACATTTCTGTCTCATTTGCACACAATTTTCCAAAATTCGTTTCCAGCACCGATATTAAAAATAGGCCCTGCTTTGTTATCACTTCTGCTTGAAATTATTTATTCATATGTACATGCAGTACACGGATTCTGGCTCTTAATCTTCAGGCTCTGTATCTGTGGTAACGACTTTACCGACGGCTCGCCCAAAACTCCACCGCCGACCGCGGGGTGTTCTGTCAGGCAGGTACCATACCGCCCGCTAGCTGTGACGTGACCAGGGAAGCTTCGAGTCGAGCTTCTCTTCTCACTTGCATGTGTCTTCTTTGTCTTCTTCTTCCACTTGCTTTTCTCGGAAATTGGAGCCACTCTCCCTCCCTCTCTTCTTTGGCAGTGCTTTAGTTTTCTCGGGGTCAAGATGGCCTCTATTCTTCTGCGATTCGAGAGTCGAAATGGCCAATTCCGACTAACGGTCAGCCCGCAGGAACTCTTCCCATCACTTCAGAAAAAGGTATTTGTCGGCCCTTGCTCAGAAGGGAACGATAGCAGTTCGAGAGCCAAAATCTAATCCGGTAACCGGCATCAGATTTTAGAACACCTCCCGGCAAATGTCCAACCTTCGTCCATTGCCCTCTCAAATAAACCGATCGGCACAGGTGGTGAGGAGAGACTACTAGGAAGCCTACAAGGAGTTTCGCTTCAGCAGGTTGGCCTCAAGTAAGTGTCGAATTCCATGTTCGCCTCTACAGATTGAATTACTCACGCGCCGCTGACTTCAAGGCATGGCGATAAGCTCTTTATTGGGTACCAGGAACAGGCACAACAGAATGGACCCTCGAACGGCGACATATCTACCACTACAGAACACCGACTCAACGGAGCACCGATCCCGAAGGAGCAGACAGTCCCGATCCGTCCACAGCCAAGTTCTTCCGCTCCAATCAAGAACCCGTGGGAGCTAGTGCAGCAGTCACCGCTAGACGATCTACTAGACAAGAAAGATGGAAAGATCAAGCGTGGCATGGACCTGAAGATGTGCAGGCACGGTCCTCGTGGGATGTGTGATTACTGCATGCCACTCGAGCCTTACGATGCGAACAACATGGCAGAGAAGAAAATCAAGCACCTTTCTTTCCACTCATACCTGCGGAAAATCAATGCCGCGACCAACAAGCCCGAAGTGGGAACCTCGTTCATGCCTCCGCTCAACGAACCATATTACCGAGTGCGAACAGACTGCCCATCGGGACATTCGCCTTGGCCGGAGGGCATTTGCACCAAATGTCAACCAAGCGCAATCAGTCTGCAACCCCAGGAATTCCGCATGGTAGACCATGTGGAGTTCTCATCCCCTGATCTAATCAATTCTCTCCTTAATTTCTGGCGAAAGTCAGGTGCTCAACGGCTGGGCTTCTTGTATGGGACATATGAGGAGTACACCGAAGTACCACTGGGTGTGAAGGCTGTCGTGGAAGCAATCTACGAGCCCCCGCAAACGGGCGAAATCGATGGCGTAACACTCCATGACTGGCACAACGAAAAGGAAGTGGACGAGGTAGCCCGTCTATGCGGATTGCAGAAGGTTGGTGTCATATTTACTGACTTGATTGATGCCGGCCGCGGGGATGGTTCAGTGGTTTGCAAGCGACACATCGACTCATACTTCTTGTCTTCACTCGAAATTGCCTTCGCTGCACGACTCCAGGCACAAAATCCGAAGTCAACGAAATGGAGCCGGACAGGACAGTTTGGCTCGGATTTCGTAACCTGTGTGCTCAGCGGAGACGAGACAGGTGCGATTGCTATTAGCTCGTACCAAGCATCCGTGTCTGCAGTTGAGATGGTTCGAGGAGATATCGTCGAACCCTCAGCTGACCCGACCGTGATGCTGGTGCAATCGGAGCATGACGAAGATATCGGAAGCAGGACACGATACATCCCCGAAGTCTTCTACCGACGAATTAATGAGTACGGTGCAAGCGTACAGGAAAGCGCTGAGCCGAGTTTCCCAGTCGATTTCCTACTAGTCACCCTCACCCACGGATTCCCAACAGTGTCATCCCCGTTATTCACCGACAGTCGCTTCCCTATCGAGAACCGCGAAGTCATCGGCGAGAGCCAAGAGCTTCGACACGTCGCCCAGAAACTCATGTCCCACGGTGATCCCGATAAAGCTATCCAAGGCGTTTCCGACTTCCACATCCTGTGCTTCTTGCATGGAGTCGGCACATTCAGCAAGGTCAGTGTTCTGGTGTGCATCTTTCGATCTAGTGTACCTAACGCTAACTCGCATTCGTGGACAGGATGAGGAATCACTCCTCTGCCGCGTCGCCAGAACGAAGTCTGCCGCCGAGGGCATGCAGCTTGTGAACACCCCAGGATGGGCCACGTTGATGACAATTCTTCAAGAGAGTGGTGAGCGCCCCCCTAAGCGCCCCTGGCCCACACCGGCCGAGCCTTCTCGCTCGGATTCCCAAACCCGAAAACGTCGCAACCCCCTATCCTCCACCCTACCCCGGTCCATATCTCCCAGTCCCGAGAGTGACCAGCTTGCTAAGAGGTTTAAGGGAGCTAGTTTAGAGTAACGGGCTTCGTCTTTTCGCCGTTCGGTTTTCATCGCACTCCCCCAACACCCTTCGGTTCAGTTTTCCCCACCGTGTTGCCCTAAAAAGTTATGAGGAAGGCGCTAGTGACTGTTCATCGCCTTCTTCCATCGCCTTCTTCCGAGATATTGTCTATTTCCGGACCCGAGATGGAGTTTGATGGTGCTGGAATGGAGGTTGGAAAGTCCTTGGTTCCGTCGGCTGGTTATAGCAGGCTAAAGCTCTGCCCGATATCACTGCATTTTCGACGAACATAGCAGTCGAGATTTGGTTTACGTCTTACGCGTCTCACAGCCCTTGAATGTGCTGTAATTAGATAATTCACTGATGCTCTCGTCTCAGGGGCTTGTCTAATTTGGTCTGCTTTTTCGGATAGCATAGATATGAAGTAGAAGTCTTCGATTGTACCAATGTGTCCAGTCAACGCTGCAGGTGGATGCTACGAAGTGATGGGCCTACATATCCATGGAGTTGTATATACCAGGTTTCAAGCCGCAGTCGCGACTTTCCCAATTGGGGTGCGCGCCGCATTATGAGGGCGCTCAGAGTCCTGCTCACTGAGTATGCTGGAGAAGGTCCACGTTGTCTTGAGATTATTGAACGCATTCTAAGGATCATCGATTTTACTTATGGCGTAAAACGCTTACTGATCCTTTGATAGGAGGCGCATATGAGTGATCGTGTAGCGCGGGACTCGCAGCCTGAGTTTACTATGCGCCGTGAATATCATGATCAACTTCTCGGGTATGTATCTCATCCATGCATAGTACACAATTATGACAAATTTCCTCCCTCTCCAGCATTTCGCTTCCCATAGACGCCCGAGTAAAGATGTCAAAACTCCCCAAGTAATACAAGTCACCGGCGATGACCACTCATGGCTCTTACGCTTGGCTTTCTTGGACAAGCTCCTTCAAGCGTCTTTCCAACATCTCCCGTCCCTGTCCGGTAGTCCATACTTCATGAGGTGCATCCTCAGCAATATCCCAAGACAAAAGGTTATCTGTAATATGAGACAGATCCTCCTGTCGCTCTGCCCACTGGGAATTCTTTCGAATTTCTTGCCCAGAGCTCACAACGACTACAGGAGCATGACCCATCTGGATGTGGCGAGAGGACTGGATCTCGGCAGCAGTCATGGTGACAGCGACAAGGCTTTCCTGTAGCTTTGCTTTGATGTATTTCCCAGACTGGTAAGCCGCACGCCCGATAACGCGATCCTGGCGAGAACGGCCGCGCAAAAGGGCCCCCGCAAGCCGATCCAATCCCAGCGGAGAAACTATACCACGAAGCCAGAGCAAAAATCCACGACTAGGCCGCCCTATGTCTCCAAGGTATGCCTCGTGGAGTGGATCGATCATAAAGATGCCGCGAACTTCGAGAAGATTGCGACTGGCAAACAGCCTCGAATAAAGACTGCCAACTCCAGCAGAAACAACTATCCATGGGCCTGTCTCACCTGCAAGAGCCAGGGCCTCTCCCAGCACGTCTGCTGACATGCCCGCGGAATGCGGCGAGGGGGCGTTGTCGGACCATCCGAATCCTGGTCGGTCCCAGTAACAGTATCTGTTGATGATACCGCCACGGCCGCATACATCATCGATGAACGGCTGGAATGTATGTTCGACGGGCCCATTGCCACCCTCCACCAGGATCGTTGGTACATTGTCGTCTGCAGTTTTGTTCCCGACACAAGCGAGATGAACTTGATAGGTATCCCCATGCACCAAGTATCGCTTACCTGGAGACTCGAGCCCGGCATCGAAAGCACGCAGGATCAGAGTCGCTGTGAACATGACGGCCGCGATCGCCATGGCAGCCAGTAAAATCGTTTCAGCGAGAACAGCAATCCATTCCAGAAGGGAGCGCCGAGTCTCTTCCCGACCAGTAAGACGCTCTTCCTCTTCGCGCTTCCCCCAAGCGACTGCTCGGTTCTGGAAGGCCTGGTAGATAGAGATCAGAGCTACCCAGACGACAGAAGCAATTCCTACCCAGCCTTCTTCAAGACGGATCCGTGGTACGGCCAGGATAATACACATATCCACCAAAAGCAGAGCGGCAATCGTAATGGCCCATATTGTCATGGACTTGGATGGCACTGCAAAGAACAAGAGTCCAAAGACGAGGTATCCTGTCGCCAAGGTGGTATATGAAAAGGCAAAGAAGCCCGACCCCCGCGTGTGGATCATCGGAGGACTAACAAATATGGAGACCAGCAGGAATGTCCACCATATGAAGCTCAATGCCAATGCGATGACTGACACACCACGTACCACGCGCACGCTCCATAGATTGTGGGGCGATACCTGCTTCTCGTGTTAGCTATGACTTGTCTTTGGCGTGTTATTTTGTAGTGGGTCTTTGTTTGTTGGACTCACTGCAGGATCATCTGGGCTGAGGAACCCCTCATTTCTATCTGGAAGCAGTCTTGAGCGCTCAGTAGGTTCTTCGAATCTTTGATCTGGCGCATGTCGATCTTCTTCCCCATTTTGGGTGTGGGGTGGCCCCGTGGACTTACGACCCCAGAGTGGCATGGTGAAGATTAGTGTCGATCTTTGAATTAGCAGATTTCACATAAGTTAATTAATTTGAGAGGAATGTATGTTTGAAGAAATGAACCAAGGCCAAACTTGGTAATATCTGGGGCGATGGGTATGACATCATGCATTTCCTACAGGTTGCCCCCAGGTAACGACGATATGGATCCTGGATATTCAAGTAGCACAAGTCATTTACTTACCAGAAGATACGAATTGATGTCGACATCAGCGAATTACCTCAAAAGACAAACTAGAAAAGATACCAAAGTGAAATGCAACTTTGGAGGCGGGTGGAGGTTGGCATAATATCTTCTACCTGATATATGATTGCCTTTCGATATTCTGCTAATCATATATATTGGGCAGTGGCTTATTTCCATGCTAATTCCTTCGATGGTCTGAGTGACAGAGTCCGGAGAAACCAGCAACATGACTCCATTCAACCATATCTAACATTCCTGGAGCCATCTCCAAACCAGTCATCCGCAGCCAAGGACTCGTCAGGGGAAGCATAGTTTATGATAGTGCTTTTCGCTATTGTGTAGGCATTGTACGCCTCGATCCCGTTCTCACTTCCAACTCCACTTGCAGACTTTGCACCTCCCCATGGACTGCTAGGGTCATTTCGATGATGAGTATTCACCCAAGTAATTCCTGCTTCAATCTGCTCCGAGACTCGGAAAGCCTGGGAAAGGTCGAGTGTCCATACACCGGCTCCTAATCCAAATTCGCTGTCATTTGCCAATGCGATTGCTTCTTCCTCCGTATCGAAACCAGCGACGATAATAACAGGGCCGAACGCCTCCTCGCGCCAGATAGATGTCTTCGCAATACTGTTGCTTCCTTTGCTGGATGTAAGTAGCGTCGGTTCGTAGAAGTATCCCTTCTCGAAATTGAATCCGTCAAGCGGGCTCTGAGAAGCCATCCGCTTTGCGCCGATGAGAGAGATCGCATTTCCTCCATCTAGAGCGCTGTTGACTAGGCGCTCCACATTTCGCAACTGCTTCTCGGAGATAAGTGGTCCCATGGTTGACTCCGGGTTGCTCGGGGCCCCAATTCGGCGTGTAATGCTCTCGATCTTGGCCCTCAGCTTGTCCAGTAGCTCGTCCATAATCGAGTTTTGCGCTATAATCCGGGTGCTGGCCACACATGTCTGCCCACTTGCAATGAAGCTTCCAAAGGCGATTCCGTTGACCGCCGTGTCGATGTTGGCCTTCTCAAATACGACTAAGGGCGCCTTTCCACCCAACTCGGCAGTGTATTTCGCCAGATTTCCACCAACAATCTTCCCAATTGCCCTGCCAGCCTCCGTGCCACCGGTCACATCCACCTTTTTCACCAAGGGATGCTCAACCAGTGCTTTACCGGCGATAGCTCCATAACCAGGTAAGACACTTAGCACGCCATCTGGAATTCCCGCCTCGCGAAGGATCTTGCCCAACAAAATTGTTGTCAATGGAGTCAACTCGCTAGGCTTAATTATGACGCTGTTCCCAGCGGCAAGCGCTGGAGCAAGCTTTTTCACAGCGATTAACAACGGGTGATTAAACGGGGTGATCTGAACGACCACTCCGAGCGGCACTCGGTCGACAAAGTTATGCAGTTTACCCATCGTCGGGAGAACAGACCGTTCCTCGACTCTTAGCAGGGAGGCATAGTATTTGAACCATCTTGTCAAAGATGGGACCTGGGCCTTCATTTCCCGAATCACCCGACCCGTCTGCTTTGATTCTGTTGAGATGAGCTGCGGGAGAGCATCAGAGAGAAGCACTGCACATTTGTCCAACACATCAGCACGGTGATGACGACTCGCTCGCGACCATACGCCGGACTTGTATGCTGCGTGGGCGGCGGAGATGGCGTTCTCGACATCTTCTGGCGAGGCTGCATGACACCTGTCAATGGTTAGGCTGGGGTCAAAAGCTTCTGCGAATCAGCTTACTGGGCGAAGACCTCCCCGGTTGCTGGATCTTCGATGGGAATGCTGTAGATATGTCAGTGCTAGTTTGAGTATCAAGGTAGCCGTTACCCACAGGTCTGCATTCCCATCTTGCTCTTTACCGGCCAGCCACAAGCGGTATTCCATGATAGAGAATATTCAGGTTCCTAAAAACTTTAGAAGCCCCTCAAATAAGGCGGAGTGGTGCTTTACAAATTGCGCTTATCTGGCTTATCTCCAGCCCTGGAGGAGGGGAAATGCCCAGGTGAGGGGTCAAGCTTGGAGTAACATTCGATCTTCCGACTTTCCCTTTCTAGATGAGCCCTGTCCTGTCAAGAAATAGATTGCATTGATCACGATCCCAAGACTAATGTATTGGGAAGTGGGCCATGTCGATCCCTTCTTCAAATTGAAACGTCACGACCTGCACGGTTTTCATCCTCGCAGCCCCCCACCATGTCTACTGACCATAATATACCGGTAAACAAAACCGTCAAGGCACTCTCCCAGCCTGTCGGAATCAGATCAGAACATATTGCCGAGGAAGAAACTCTCCTCTACCTGAAACCTAAATATGACCACCGTTCGCCGAATGAATATACGATTAAGAGATATTGGGACGACTCAACAGTTTTCACAGTCACTGGTCACAAATATGGCGACACCCCAGCTCGTGAATTTCGCGATTCATCAGGACTCCCAATGTTCCAGTCTCGTGAGGCAGTCTTAGCATGGAAAAGACCACTGCGGGTGCGGCTACCCGGCAAGGAAGATGAAGAGCTTGTGGATTTCAGAGTCGACATGAAAAAGGTCTACAGGCTCACATTTCGCAACTCAATGGAGCCAGACTCGAAAAGCGAGAGCGATAGAATGGCGACGGTCGAAGTCCGAGAGTCGGGCACTTACGCGTGGCAGGGATTCTCAGCTAGTGTTGGCGGCCAAAAAGTGGTTGATGTTCGTGAGAGCATGACGATGAACCGGACACTACCAAAGTGTACCTCTCAAGGAGATGTGTCTTTAATGCCACGACAAGTCCTTGAGATTCTTGTGGCTGAGGGGTTTGACTTGTCGCTAGTGGGTGCATCTCGTTCTGGTTGGTAGACAAATACTAACTGTTTGTCCAGGCTGCACTTATTGCCGTTTACATGGCAGATACGAGGTTCAGTACCGCACCTCCTCCCAGATGCTAAATGAATGCAAGGATATTTGAATATTGCAGTTGAACTGGTCTTAGTCCACATCTCTTATGCATTGCAGGGTATAAAATGTTCGGAAGGCGTGTTTGTTGTATCTGCCTCTTTGTCAACTCTCAAAGGGCTATATAGATAGCCCTTTTACCTACTTGTATCTGGCTACTATTCTTCTCTCGCGGTTTTTATTTCTTCCATTACCGTAGGTTGTCAAGTATCTTGGGATAAGGAGAAGAGTACGTATGTATTTAAAGTCGCTACCGCATTTTTATGGATTTGGAGATTCTATATGGAGAGAGCTAATTCTACGATTCACAGGCATCACTAAGGGTTATCTTTTTGTTTTAAATCGGTCTAAGACTATACATAATTTGTCTTACAGCCTGTAAGACGCATAGGCAGAGAATAATTCCACGGTCATCAACTGTCTAGGTATCATTGCAGTTCCTTAAAGTGCCATCATCAACTAGGCGTTCTGGTCTATTTTCTCAGCGTAATGTCATCGTATCCAAGGTAATTACCGTATCTCGCTGCCTACATATGTATACGACGGACTCTTGGATATTGCACATGTGTTCATGCTCACCATTTAGTCCCTTTTATGCATGGATTTGGCCAATGGCTTCTCTAGATTCACTCGTCTTAGATACACGAAGGCATAATGATTAGCTGGGTTATTGTCCAATGGTGTCGGCGTATAGATGTATATGAGCTTGTCTGAAACGACTGGTTATATGAAAATGTCTGCAACCTTGGAACTATATGCGACGCCGAGCCTTTTCCTCGGCTGCGATGCGTGTTTTCGTGAAATGCGACGCCTGGTTCCCTTTATTTACTTCATTCTCTCGAAGACACTCTCTTGAAGACACTCCCTCGAAGACTGCTTCTTTTCTACGCTCATCTATCTCATTGAAACCTAACGTCAACATCAATTGTCACCATCATTATCAATCTTAACCCTTGAAACGAAACGCAACATGACGTCCAACGATCCCAGGCTCACCCTAACCGAAGATGAGCAAATCTTCAACCAGCTCTTAGCCAAGGTACACACTGAGGAAGAATTAAAAAAGCGACATTTCACTACGATTTCGACCTGCTTGATCGCTCTCGTCGCCCTACGGGCGGGGTGATCAGATGTAACGAATTCATCCAGAGTCCAGGGCCCACAGAAGACACAACAAAACGACACGCTGTTGTCCTCGATTGTGAAATGGTCGATGTTGAAGGTGGTCGCAAAGAGCTAGCGTTTCTGGTAGTCGTGGACCTGTTCACCGGAGAGATCATCATCAACCACTTCGTTCATCCCACAAACATCGTTCGAAACTGGCAGACCAAATACAGCGGCATAACCTGTGCCGAAATGAAGACTGCCGTGAAGAAGAACCTCGCCATTCGACGGTGGAAAGAAGAGCGCACCATGCTTTTTGACCATATGGATAGCAAGACCATTATTGTCGGCCACGCCCTCCACAACGACCTGAACTCTCTGGGCATCATACATCCCACAGTCATCGACACATCTGTCCTCACCGCTGATGCAGTGCACAGACCGCTTGGAAGGCCCTTTCGACGGACTTGGAGACTCAGAAGATTGGCAGACGAGCTAATTGGTCAAAAGATCCAGGGAGGAAAACATGGCCATGATGCGCTGGAAGATACCATGGCCACTAGGAATGTGCTGCTTTATTGCACCAAAAACCCTCTCGAATTGGAGGCTTGGGCCGAGAAAGCTCGAAGCGAGGAACCAGTCAAGTGCGAGGAGCCGGAAGCGAATGAGTCTGAGACCGAAGATCCCTGGTCGCTAGATGAATTGTGATGGAAGAAGTTGGGTTGGTTTCTTTCGTGCGGTTTCTGTTCCCTCTACTTTTTTGGTTATGTTCGTGGCTTTCGGATTAGATGCAACATATCAGATTGTGCGATTTCTGTTCTCAATGCTTAGACGATTAAAAAGATTCCAAGTAATTCTATGAAGCCAAATGCTCTGTGTGATTCTATTGTTTAGGTAACTTCAAGATAAACTGTAGTGCTAGTGTAAAGTCTTGTCAAGTGCACCTGATAAAACCGGACTATATATCACACGCGTTCTGAAGGTAGGGCTCAGCCAGCAAATTTCTTTTTGCGATCATAGCCTTCAAGCCTGCTCTGCTAGTATCACGGCCCAATTCATCTTTGAAATACTGTTTTAGGTCTTCCGACGTTCGTGGCTTCTCTGGCATTTGATCTTGGGACCTGGCCCAGTGCACGCCTATGCAGTGAAGTTGACCTCCCGCTATTGATATTTCTACGGGAGTATTCCCTTGGGGAATTGTAGGGTCTGGGAAATACTAGTGAATATCCTATAGACTGTTGAATAGTATCTAGGTATGATCAAACTCCCACTTATAAAGCATTTGAATCCCTCCGGGATTTTAAACGAAGTCCGTTGTCTATACTTGATACTGCTATCTTAGGGCCAATCCTTTGTGATTAGGGGTGGGAGTACTTCCAAGCTTGCTAATCTCATTTCGCCTTTTACATAATCCTATACAACTTTGGGAGTATAGGAAGTAAGTCTAGCAATATATTGCGAAATACAGATCTCATATTCCCAACCTCTTCATTTTTCTATACACTTTATATATCTCACTGCTTTAAATTCTATTGACAGGAGCAAAGGAACAACAGTCATTGTCATCTCCTGTTTTAGAGGAGGAAGCCTGTGGATATATATATATACGTAAGAGATCAGAGATATATAACCCCGAGGTGAGGACGCATAACTGTGTCGGAGACAGAAATAATCATGAAATGGATATGCCTAAATATTTATTAATCATTTTTATATAAAAGAAGGTCTTGCAGAATATACACTTGTTGTGGTGAACCCGAAAAAGACCACTCAGAATATTCAGTGAATATTTGCGAAGGGACCTTCATAAAAAGAACTCCGAACATTTGTGTTCATTCGTGGATTGACACCTGTTCACAGATCAATCGCGACAGGAGCATGCAACTCAACAAATCAGCCCGGCTAGCTCAATTGGCAGAGCGTGTGACTTTTAGATGTGATTTTCACCTGAAATCACAAGGTTCGGGGTTCGACCCCCCGGTCGGGCAATCAAACGCGCATCCGCGCATTAGGGATGATTGCCCAAATACTTCTTTTTTATTTCATCTTTCATCTTCCTTTCGTCTTTCATTTTTTAGTTTTTTTTTCCTTAAAACTCTGTTCCATAGCAAGTACAGTACGTTCATTTTCTTCGTGATGTTCATGATACCTTTGGGTATCCCGTGCACAAATCAAATACGTGCACAAATAACCCTCCCTTAAGTTGCCGGCATACAATTAACAGAAATACCACCAGTTGTAGCACTTTCGGTTTCCGCTGTATGTGTAGCCTGCTTTTCATCCATAGATATATATGGTCTTATAGCTCTTGTCCTCGTAGCGATCATCTCAGGTTGAGATGATTTGCTAATGTTTCTTTCTTTTTCATCGGCGAATTTTAGGCTGAGCCCCTAAGAGGACTATCTAAACGTAGGTGCCATATTTAATGGCTCATATGTGGTTACATATATCATTGCTAAGATTACCAGAGAAGGGACATTTACAAGTTCTACAGCTTCGGCAGGACATCACGATATTAGTCAGCAATGGCTGACGACACAGCACCCGATGTGAATGGACTCGAGTATTTCTATTAAAAACCATTTTGCTCTAAGAAATTATTGGCAGTGCGTGGAAGAGAACAACACGTATGAAAGCCCTCATTCATGCACCCCTCCTTTTGATCGACACAGCCGTGGTATCCACTTGAGATGAGTTCCCTTCAGAAATCATTCGCCAAGTCAAAACTGGCCAAATTTCCACCTGAAGCACCAATGCCTGAGCCATTGAGCCATTTAGAGGATGCATGGGAGGAAGGCTCTTCAGCTTCCTCGCTGTCGTCGACCGGGACAATGGTCCCGTCACCCACGCGACAGCTATTCGCCCGAACGGGCCGACGGTCCGTTTACTTCTCCAATTTCCATGAGCTCAACTTGTGATCAATTAGCTATTTGAATCAGCCGATTTTCTAAGACCAGGCTAACATGCGACCACAGACAATCATCTCAAACCTCTTTGACATGGACAGACTTCTTTGACCAGGAGCTCTTTCTTTCAGAGGAAGTGGATAATCTCCATATTGTACACCATGTCTATTTAACGCCGCCGACTGACTCAGGCCCCCTTTTTGTCATGCACCATGGCGCCGGTTCATCCGGACTTTCCTTCGCCACGTGCGCAGAAGAGATCCGGAAGATCCTCCCAAAGGCAGGGATCTTGTCACTGGATGCTCGAAGTCATGGCCGCACCGTCACAACCACATTGGACGGTAGGACGGACGATGAATATCCTTCTACGGCAGCGGCAAACCAGGCTGAATCCTCGGGGCAGGTAGAGCTCGACCTCAGCCTTGAGACTCTGAGCCGGGATCTAGTCCATGTGATCTATCAGACACAAACCAGGATGGGCTGGGAGAAGCTCCCTGATATCATTCTAGTTGGACACAGTCTAGGCGGTGCGGTGATTACAGATGTCGCGAAGAAAGGGGAGCTGGGTCCGAAACTGTTGGCATACGCGGTGTTCGACGTAGTGGAAGGTACGCTCGCCCGTCTTCTTGGTTTCTGTCTATCAGATACTGATCCGCTTCACAGGGTCTGCAATGGATGCGCTTCAGAGCATGGAGAAATATCTTTCGACTCGTCCCACCCGATTCCCATCCCTGCTATCTGGGGTTGAATGGCAGTATGTATCCATCTCGACTGTCCTTTCTTCCCATCATGGCTGACAAATACCACAAGTACTCGCTCCCGCACAATCCGGAACACCATTTCCGCTCGCGCCTCGGTTCCGTCCCTTTTGTATGAAGAAAGCGAGCCTAGCGATCCGTCCCGTCCTTGGGTGTGGCGCACCAACCTCTCTGCAACGAAACCATTCTGGGAGAACTGGTTTGTTGGCTTGAGTAGGAAGTTCCTTGATGCACGAGGTGGCAAGCTACTATTACTTGCCGGGACCGACAGATTGGATAAGGAGTTGATGATCGGGCAGATGCAAGGTATGCGCTTGAAAATTCTGTATCAGTCGTCTATCATCACTCGGCATCATGCTCACTTCAGTATTACAGGTAAATATCAACTGCAGGTCTTCCCTGAAGCAGGGCACTTCGTTCATGAGGACCAGCCTGCGAAGACTGCGCAGATCCTGGCGGACTTTTACCGACGAAATGACAGGAACGCATTGGTGCTTCCGCCCAAGGTGGCGGATATGCAGGCATCAGCGGCGATGAAGAAGGGAACCGGTGCTCCCGATGGCTCAACGGGGCACCTGAGATAGTATTTATGACTTGTCTCGGTGTTTGGAATGCGATATGATATGAATCCAATGAAAGGCCATTCATAGACGTAAGCACATGCTTCCCGAGCAAATACACCTAAACGATGGGACTTGGCTACTTGCATATCTGAAAATAAAATGATACGAGCAGAAAACGTTTCATTTTCGAACGGGGCGAGAAGAAGATCCTTCTCAGGTCCAGGTCAATCCGGCCACACAGGGCAGCCAGCAGTCCAGCCTTTGGTCCGAAGCTCTATACTACCCCCGCTGCGACAGACATTAGAGGAAAAAAAAGCAGGAAAAACAAAGAACTTCTGGGCACGGCAAAAAGCTTAGTGCCTCTCCATTGATAAACACCGAGAACCAGGTTTTCGAGATTTCGAACGCCACCGGGATTCCATCACACGGAATCATCATGCGCGGATCGTGAAAAGGGATGTGATAATACAAGGAGTAAGGGTATTCCGACAGAGAAAGAAAAAGAGCGCATGACGCCAAGAACAACGGACCTAGATGCCCTCTTAAGGCAAATAGGCGCCACCAGCGACCACCAAATTCATATTGGTGAACTTGACCTTGTAGACAGGAGACTTCTTAGTCGGGAAAGCGCTGATTTGGTCGGCCGTGACAACGACATCCTTTCCCTTCTTTTTCTTGGTCTGGCTCGTCGACGGGTTTGCGGCTGCATCCAGTCTGGTTCCAGTGCCTGTTTCACCGATGATACGGCCACCCTGAGTGGCTTCCTGGGAACCAGCAACATCCCAAACTCGCACGGTACCATCAGCTCCACCGGACACAAGCACCGTGGACTCCACACTCCAGCTGACAGACCAGATCCCACCCTTGCCGTGACCACGCATGCGCTTGAGTAGTCTACCAGGGGCCAGATCCCACAGGATGATGCAACCCTGGTCATCAGCGGATGCTAGAAGCTTTCCATCGCGGCTGCACTCCATCGCGGTGATGCTGCCAGTGTGGCCAGTGAACATTCGGACAGCATTACCAGTTGAAACAGCCCACATGCGAACAGTGTGATCAGAGCTGGCGGTGAAAACGTATGCTGAGTTAGGATGGAAGCAGACGACATCCACATCATGATCATGGCCGACGAAGATGCGCTGCTGGCGGATCTGGTCACTCACCCACAGACGGGCGGTCCGGTCAGATCCACCGGAGACAAAGTAGTGACTAAAGGGTCCCCAGCTTAGGTCCCAGACAGGGCGGTCATGTCCCTTGTAGACGACCATACATTGCCAGCTATCAAGAGACCAAAGGCGAATTGTCTTGTCCATGGATGACGAAAGCAGCCAGCGTGCATTGGTGGCAACCTTGTCATCCCCAGAAAGGCCCTCACGAGCGGATGCGCAGGGCTGGAATGCAACGGCAGTTACGGGACCCGCATGGCCGATAAGGCGGCGCGAACTGGCAGGTGGCGAGTTATCAAGGTCGGGGTCAGCAGATTGAAGGTTCGTGCCATCAAGGCTCCAAATCCGAATATATGACTGCTGGAATCCCACGGCAACAACCTGGCTGTCGTCTGAAAAGTCCATGCAAGTAACTCTGCGTTTTGTTAGTAAAGCCCTGTATTAAGAAAGAGGCTTAGATGAACCTACCCATCATAAGTGTTGTGGAATGTGAACATGCACACACTAAGCCCGGGACCAACACCACCTGTGCGAGCCTTAATCTCGAACCGATCGCGATGTTCCATAACCTTCTTCACCTCAATCTGGACGTCACGAGCAGTGGACTGAGGGAAAGGAAGATCTGCACGATTAGGTGCTTCGTCGTCATCTTCATTTTTAATCATTTGGTCGAACTCCTGAATGAGGGTGTTACGGCCGGCGGCAGGAGGTTGTTTCGCGTCTTCCTCAGCCAGTTCAGCCCGTACATCTTCCTCCAGAAGTTGTTCCATAGGGAGTCTTCCGAGCTTCAGACGGGGAAGGGTGCCGGCCATGGCCGGGTTGTCACCGGTGTAAGCAGAGCCGGGGTGGTGTCCCGGAATGCCTTCATCCTCAGCCGGGAAGGTCTGGTCGGCACTAATCTGGTTCAACATGGCAGCGAAACTGAATCGATCATCTGCTGCTCGGTCCAAAGTTTTCACCGAGCAAAAGCTGCTGAGAATTGCATTCATGACAGAACCTCCCTCTTTATCCTTGCTCTCCAGGAATTGGAGAAGATTGGTGTAAGCAGGGTTGCTTAACACGACGCGGTATTTGTTGTTTCGATAAAGCTTAGCAACGGAGTTATCCTGCAGGTGCTCCGGTAAGCTGATAGGCTCGAAGTGGCGGATGTCATCGGTATGCTCAGGAAGGAACATGTTCTTGTTGGTTTCGAAGAATGACTTCGCATCCTGAGGATAGAAGGAAGTGACCATATTGAAAAAGGAATAGACAAACAGCGGCCACAGAACACGCCGAAGTTCAGGCTGTGAGACAATTAGCATCGAGGTGTCAAGTCGCTCCTTGCTTGTCGCACCTTGTACAGATCAAGATTTTCCTCAACCCAATTCTTCAGTAAATCTAGTAACGCATTAGTTGGTTTGTCAAATCACCTGGGTGGAATGCCCAGCTCACCAAATCCTTGTCGAGTCTTGGGACGAGAATCCTCTCCCAGCTGAGGGAGCGGACGCCCATCAATCTCCTGGTTGGCAGACTCCATGCGCAACATTGCCTCTGTACGACTGTAGCCCTTCTTGGCCAAATAGTCAATAACCTAGACAAGGGCAAAAGTTAGCGTACAAGTAAAACCGAGCTTATTTAAGCAAAAAAGAATATATGGTAAGACAAGCAGGGCGCGGTGGAAGCAGGCTTGGTGAGCAAACAGACAGTTTGTTCACGCGCACGTGTCTCCTCCAAGGTGAGAGCTTGTAAAGGCTTTGCGATAGGTGGACGCGACACAATCTGATGCGGCAGCACAGAATGTGCCGGAGTCACATCAGCCGCCACGGGCTTATGTTTCTTCTGCATCTTCTGGGTCGGCGAGGACGGGCATGGGCGCTGGCGATCGCCTCGCCGGCAAGGGGGCCGCCAATCCTTGTCTCGAGTTTCCATAGCCACAACGGTTCTGGCAATGTTTTGCGAATGCGGTCCGTTTTATTGGAAGATGAAAGAGAAGTGTAGATTGATGGGTTGATGGGTTGATAAAGATGGATAATGATACTCGTGGAAGTGTGAAGAAGAATGGTTGTTTGGTGAGAACCGCGTGAAGAAAAACGTGGATGAATAGTGTATGTTTGGCTCTGAGTTGTGATGCCTTGAGTACTCATTGATCGCGAGTCATGGGTTGTGATGGCCAATAACAGCGAGCTAGAAATGCTCTTGTGAGGTCTGAAATGAACCATATTGGTCGGCATTGATGAGAAACCCGTGCGGTTCTCAGTAATGGACCATCCAGAGGCTGCAATGACCAACGAATAAGAAACTCGTGGCCTTGTTACATCAACCAAACCACCGACATTGTGGTGCGCTGCCTTTGGTTTTGGATCATGGAGCGCGATCATCGTCGAAGGGCTGTAATGGCTAATGAACAGGGTGGTCGAGGGCTCGTGGGATTTTCAATATCGTCGGTATTGAGACAAAATGCCTTAGGGTCCCCCGTCTTGGAGCTCATCATCGTGTTCTGGGGGAATCCAGCGGAGACATCGCCATATATCAAGCTTCTCAAACTCGGCTGAGACATATAGGATGGACAGAATGTGCAAGGAACAATCGTCGCAAAGGGACAAGGGGAACGTGAGGAAAACAAGACATCTCAAACAACGCGAAAGTCGAGGATGAGGGTACCTACTATTTGGTTCAAATTCTGCTGTGACATAGCACCACTTGGTGGTGCACTGGGTCCTGGAGTCGGTGCAGAATGAACGGGGGTTCCCGGTAATGGTTGCTGGGAAGACATCGCCATCCCATTGCCGTTTACACCTGGTCCCATACTGCCACTGCGCGGTCCAGGGCTTGGGGCTCCGCCTGGTGCCGACATAATCGACCACTAACGACAACTTCGAGACAGATCCTCAAATTGCGGCGGAGGATGGCAACTGAGCAGGGTTGCGTACAATCGACGGCGATTTATATGATGGACTTAGGTGGTCAGCTATCAGTGTTTTGTCTAATGTATATAGCGCCCAAAGGTATATGGGACTTCGTTCAAAGATAGGATAATGGATCTGATATCTTGAATTTGATACCCCCCAGGCTGCCTCACCGCTTATTAAGACCATCCCCAACTTCCATCACGTGATTCAAACTAATAAGCTCTCCAATCTCCATTGCGATCTCGACCTCTCGTTCTACACTCGGGTATTTGGTAAAATTGATCCATACGGACGGAGCTATCTATCTTCTTTCTTTATACAACTCCAGGCCAATGAACATGGGCGAAGACGCACCCCCACAAGAGCTACCTAGCTTTACCTCTGCCGATCGCATTCGACAGCTGAATGAGATGGACAAGGTACTGTGAGCATACAATTTATGCGGGAACCACTCGCTGATTCTGCTTCATAAGGATGTTACCAAACTTCTTCATTCTGCTGGCCTCGCGATCCAAGCCTTGACCAACGCTAAACCGGGCCCCTCTTCCGTTGCACCAGATGGATCACTCGACTCGCACAAAACGCGGTTTAAAGAAGCAAGCGCGAAATACTTCGCGCTGCTATCCTCAGCCGATGTCACTCTCCGCCGCCAGATCTACGCCCTAGAGGAATCATCTCTCGTAGGACCCGATAAGGGTTCGCGCGCAGGGGACACAAAAGTTGGAGCGAGAAACGAAGGAGTCGCGGGAGCTAAATCGCGAGCTCCAAACTCACTGGATATAAGTCGGCTCAATAGCCGGAAGGATACAGTTGGAAAAGATAAGGAGGCTGAATTGTGGGCGGCTGCTCGTCAATTCGTTGAACAGATGCAGAAGCCTTCCGAGACAAGCAAGGATTCTACGCCAGCGAATGGCGCGGAGGACATGCAGGTGGATTGAACGATGAGCTATCGGTTCATCCTGTGCGATTGGTTGAGTTTCCTTCATGCGTTTATGATACCCCGGGCTATCTGCTGCCACTGGCATTAAAATTACGAATACAATGGGTCCCATTGGAAGATGGTACATACATTTACACAGTGCCAAGTACATATGTAACCGATGCTGGGCGGCAAAGTGGTATGGATCAGTGTTCGAGCATGTTCACAGAACTCCGCTATACAAAATAAAAGCAACGGCAAGTATACTTCATCGGCCTAGCCGAGCAGGATATTGTCGGAACAGTAAAAAGACTACTTCTGCATGGACATGATCATCTCCCGCTGGGTTTCCCGGTCTCTGTTCGCATCAGACAATGGACCCAAGCCTAGGTTTTTGTTAGCATATTGCAGCGGCAGGGATATTATGTGCATTCACTTACTTCGAAGCTCGCCAACGACATCCTTCGCCTTGCCGAAGTAAACCTCCTCTATGGTGTGAAAGCCTAGGTCAGCATAAACCACTCAAGCCATTAAATGGCGACGAGAGGATGAAACGTACGCAGCAAATTTCGCATCTTCAACTCCATATCCTCCACTAGCCTGCCCACATTGGCGACATGGCTAGCATCCGACTCTACGGGCAGATCAACTTCCACCTGACGAGTCATGTTCCCACTGAGGTCCATATCACCAAGGGCCTCTGATCTGTTGGCCAGATGGAGGATAACGGTACTAGTGAGTTTGTAGTGGGACATGCGAGCGCGATCGGTCGCCTCGAAAACATGAATGCTGTCCCATTCGCCGGAGCTCTGGGAACCTGGGGTGACACCTAATCAAACGAAACAGTCAGTCCTAATCTAAAGCATAGAAAGTAACCTGCGGTCAGTCCATGACACACCCTTCTTCAATAGAATCACACCGGCAAATCCATCGTCCAAATCCCAGAAATACACACTCCCCACGCCTCCCTCATAGTACAGCTCGCGGTAAACATCGAACGACTCATTGGCGGCAACCTCGAGCTTGCGCACTCGCTCACTGGGCACGGTACCGTCCTCGAGCGGAGGATCAAACTCATTGCTCCATGGTGATCGGTAGCTGTCGCCGTCGCGGTTGTAGTCGCACAGCAGGTAGTCGCGGTTGCTCTGCGGGCAGCGCCGAATCTCCAGGGGCTGGTCAACGGAGGAGAGGAGGTCTTCGGTGAGGTCGGGGACGATTGTGGTGATGGCTTGCAGGTTGGTCTTGGTGTCCCGTGGGTTCAGGCGCCGAAGGAGGTCGCTGTAGAAGGGGAGGTCAGCTCACTTGTCTCCGACTGCATGGGGCGGGGTTGCGTCGGGATCGGGGATTGTCATGGCGAGTGTCATAGTTGGGGAAGAAAGGGTCTGTAGGTTTATATTGGTTGCGAGACAAATTACTCACAGCGCGCTGTCAAATTGTGCGTCAGCCATGGTTGCGAAGGTTGGTTGTATATCTGTTGCTTGACGAATGGCGGTGTTGATCTTGGGCGGATGAGGTGCGTGTATGTTTCCGACTTCTTGCGTGGCAGTACATGATATCTATATCAATCGTAACATATCAACTTTCGATAGCATCCATAAAAAGACCAGAAAATCCTACGTAAATATATAGCTACAGATATTGGTATTCAAACCTTGTTTTCTTTGATGATTTTTGATTTGGATTTAGCGTATGAAATACGCCCACTGGCTGCAATATCTTAATAGAGAAGATAGGACAGGCGATAGTCGGATTGTTGGATCTTCAGTGTTTTCGTAAGAAATGGAGAATATCATTCTTCTCAGATATATGTATTGGAAGTTTCTGAAGGGTTTGACTACGCCAAGTCCAGTATTCGAGCAAGGTCTGTGAGACTAAAATATCTCGAAGATCTTTGACAGGAGTTTAGAATGCATATATCATAACCGTCTCGGGAAGTGTAAAAACAAATGATCAACGAGTTGACAATGTGTATAGAAGCCTCTCTTAGGTTGAACCAGAAACGAGACTCATCTCCTCCTGCCACCATCCAGCAAAGACATTCAACCTCTCCGTCCGCACCCTAGCCATCTCCCTCCCCGTGGTAGTCTTCATCATCCCCTCCAGCTTAACCAACTTGTCCTCAAAATGCTCAATGGAATTATCCATCTCCCATTTCCCATCAACGCAATATTTCTTCCCTACAGCTCCAAGGAAGGTAAAACACCTGCCAATTCCAACAGCCCCGATGGCATCAAGTCGATCAGCGTCCTGGACAACTCCAAGCTCGACAAACCCATCCTCATCAATCATCCTCCGGATCAACGCCGGATCCCTGCATTCAGTCGTATAAGAAACATGTGACACGATCGTCTGCACCCTGGATGCGAGTTCTGGCGTCGCTCCCCGCGCAAGAAGCGCATGCTGCACCATCGTTGTTGGGTCGAGTTCTTGGCTCCCAGGAGCTGCGTCCATCTTGGATAGGTATTTTCTGTCACCGATGTCATGCAACAGTGCTGCAAGTTTGACGACTGCCCCATTGTATTGGGTTGTCGGGTGCAGTGCCCGCTCCGCTTCCAGGATCTTGTTGGCGAGCGCTCCCACTCTATGAACATGTGCTGGGTTATGCGATGGATCATGGCCTGACATGCAGTCTGTCACGAAAGCGGACATTTCGCTGAAGAGCGCTTGGAATTCTTCGCTGGTATCATCCATTGTGGGGTTTTTGATCCGGTTGTTGGGGGATTGGGTTTTTTTCCGATGATACGGACTGAACGGAACGCAAGACCTATGCCAACGCTGCAAGTTGGATTTTAATACCGAGGTGACTATTGTATTTTCCTTCCTAGGCAACAGCACTATATTCTTGAAGAATTACTGGATTTTCCCCGCAGTAAACAATCCATCTTGGCGGTGAATGACACTCGACTCTCTTTCGCGTGAACTTATAGCTGCGGAGATAGCCCCGGCACGCGTGTCGCAATTTTGCGTCGTGGAAACTGCTTCATATTTATTGAAGACATGGACAGGCCCGTATATCATGTGGTGTGCTAACTTCGCCGGGACTAATCTGCAACAAAGGCATTGTGGTTAGGACCAATATAAGTTGGGAGATTACTATACAAGGTCTTCATTGAATGGTGAAATAATCTGATTACGCTGGTTGCAGATTGAGATCATTCCATTAAATAAGGCTCCAATTGATATCCAAGACACTATCACACGGAATAAAGCAAAATTATGTTACAAGGCCAACAGGGCTACCCCATTGATCCAGATCAGAGATAGTTCCGTAGGGCCATGCCGAATTACAAGGTAGTAGACTGGAGACACAATCGAAACTTCTTACAGAGCAAAGGCAGCAACAACCAGGCCGAGGAGGCCAGCAGCGGAGGCACCGAGCTTGACATTGACAGCGGCGTTTGTGGTCTCCTGCGAGAAACCTGAGGAGCTGGTAGCAGTGCCCGAGGAAGAGGAGTCATCGTTGTCGTTGTTGCCCTCGCTGTCATTGCTATCCGAAGCTGAATGCTGACGTTAGCGGAGTTTCGTATCGAGAAAAATGAACATGGACATACACTTGGAATCGGTGCTCGACGAGTCAGAGCTGGTCTGTGTGGCAGTGCTGCCGGTACCAGTGGAGGTGGTGGAAGAGTGGGTTGCAGTTGCACCGCTGCCGTTGCCGCCCCAGAAGTGCGAGCTGTAGCAGGACTGCTCACACTCGGCGTACTTCTGGGTGTCGGCGGGGGAGCCGTTGCCCTGGGGGCAGGCAGCAACGCAGTCGTTGGTGTCATTTGCCTGGTTATCGCTGGGGCAGGGCACATGGTAGCACTTGGCTGTGCAGCAGATATCCTTGGCTTCGCCTAGAGTTGAGCTGAATTAATATCAAGGCAAAGACGAGAAGACTGCGAGAAAGGGTAGCTTACAGCTCTTTGCGCACTCAAGCTCGGGAGTAGTGGTAACGGTTGAAGGGTTCGCGGTGGTAGTTTCTGCGGCAGCGGCGACAGCCAGCAAGGCCGAGAGAGCAAGGATGCTGAACTTCATGTTGAGTAAAACGGGATCAAATCAACGAAGGGAAAAGGTGCTGGTAAGAAGTGACAGTGTATTGTAGTAAAGAGTGATAGAATTGGGGTGGGAAAAGGTCAGACAAAGGGCAGACAGCGAAGTATTAAATATTATTGATAACAAGCACAAAGCAAACGGACGCCCTTGGCACACCGCGGATTCCCATTTGTGATGTCTCAGATTTAACCCGATGTCAAAGTCATTGAATTTGGCTTGGTTTTGACGGACCAAATCCATCCAGCTAATGCACGGCGATCATCTTCTTCCTTGGACAAGGATATTGTGTAGGACAATCTCCCCCTTAGGAAGGGGTCTTGTACTCCGTGCTTGGTAGCAAGTTGAGACCCTTGTGGACAGTAGACTCAAATTAGACAATATTGATTGACTTCAGGCATTAGCGTGTGAGTAAGGGGCGAATCTATTTTCTGCTGGAGTATATTGCCCTTCCTATTGGCTCTCAGAGCTCGGCAGGAGAACCTTGAAAGTCACACGCAGAAGACAACTTTAAGGATGTAGGTATCCTGTACGCCGTAGCACGGAGTGCATTGTCATGTGGCTAGCTCAGGAATATCAAAACAGAAAGGTTTTATAGGCAATCGGAGGCACATGTTTATGATAAATAAGCACATGTTCATGTTGAATTCCTCATCTATGAAGGTACTGTATACCCCGCAGTTCGTCTAGGCTCGGCCATTAAGAGAGGAAGTTGCACTCAAAGCACTTCTAAACAAGGGTACAGTGCAAACTATACAAACACAACCCCATCACCTGACTACGCGACGCGACGCGAGACGATTGCACGGAGTACAACGGCAATGCCTTTCAACTATTCGCGCGATGTCGACAGATTCCGAGTCGGACTACTTCGATGATGACGACTTCGTAGTCCCTGGAACCCCCGATGGACCATCCCGTCCCGCGAAACGCCGCCGCGTTCGAAATCGCGGGGAAGCGCGCGAAGGTCAAGATGACGGTTCTTCGATCGACTCGTTCTCTGACATGGAGGATGACGAGTTACCCCCCCGGAGCCGAGAATTGTCTCGCGATTTCGAAGAATACCAGAATCGCTCCAAAAATAAGAGCTGTGTACTGAAGCAAGCCAGCGTCCAAAATGACATGTTCGTGACACAACTCACGCAACCTTCCTCAAGTCCGGAACGAATACGGGGTGCACGATGGCAGAAGCCCGTTGCAAGACCCCCTCCGCCAAAATTTGAAACTAGAGGACAAGATGGTGGTGGACAGGAGAGGAATCTTTCCCATGATGATGAGGAGTTGATGGCCGCTATCGCGGCTTCCCTAGATTCATTTGAAGAGGAGAAAACAACCAGAGCGGTATTTAAAACCCCGATTTTATCAGACAATACTGCTCCGAGAGAGGTTGCCCCGCCGGAAAGGACAAACACGCATGTCTCGGCGGATATCTCGTTTGAGCTGGAGGACATACCTGAAGGCGCATTTGATTCCTCGCCATCATTGTCACCAGTAGCAAGACCAGTCCGGCCTACAGCTCCACAGTTCAGTCAATCCCGAGGCTCAATTCGACAACCCCATCTCAGACAGAGCACATTATTCGGCATGGTTGCTCCAAACCCCGAGGTCTTGGTGCCGCGCCAACAAGACTGGGGCCCGCCAGAGAAGACTGAAGCACCGACCCAACACAAACTTGTCAAAGATGCTTTGGATACCTGGGTCTACCCCACGAATTTGGGCAAGACCAGAGATTACCAGTTCAACATCACCCAGGCAGGCCTATTTCACAATCTACTCGTGGCCTTGCCAACGGGGTTGGGAAAGACATTCATAGCGGCTACGATTATGCTGAATTGGTTTCGCTGGACGAAAGATTCGCAAATCGTTTTTGTAGCACCAACGAAACCGTTGGTTTCGCAGCAGGTATCGGCCTGCTTGGATATTGCAGGAATCCCACGCTCGGAGTCGACCATGCTCACAGGAGGAGCATCACCGGGTATTCGCGCCGAAGAGTGGAAATCAAAGCGGGTGTTTTTCATGACACCCCAAACACTGATCAATGATTTGAAGACTGGAATCGCCGATCCGAAGCGAATCGTGTTGTTGGTCGTTGATGAAGCTCATCGGGCAACGGGTGCGTATGCATATGTGGAGGTGGTCAAATTCCTTCGACGCTTCAACAACAGTTTCCGCGTACTTGCACTCACAGCAACGCCGGGTTCAACAGTCGAATCAGTACAGGCAGTTATTGATGGCCTGGACATAGCACGTGTCGAAATCCGTACGGAGAACTCGATCGACATTCGCGACTACGTTCACGCTCGCAATATCGAAATCGAAACATTTGAGAATTCAGACGAAATCATTTTCTGTATGGACCTCATGTCTGCAGCCTTGCAGCCCTTGCTTGACCAACTACGGACCCTCAACGCCTACTGGGGACGTGATCCTATGGGGCTGACTGCGTACGGTCTCACAGTGGCGAGGCAACAATGGATGCAGTCCGATGCTGGTCGGAATGCCAATTTCGGCTTGAAAGGCAAAGTCAACTCCATTTTCAATGTTCTTGCTAGCTTGGCCCACGCTATCGATCTCCTCAAGTACCATGGCATCGTGCCATTCTATCGCCATGTCATTCATTTCAAATCAAGCTCCGAGGGACAGAAAGGTGGAGGTGGCAAATACCAAAAGCAAGTTGTCCAAGACGATAGTTTTAAGAAACTACTCAGCCATCTTGAACCATGGAGTAAGAATCCAGAGTTCATTGGCCATCCGAAATTGGAATATCTCAAGTCAGTGATCTTGAATCATTTTATGGATAGGGGTGAAGGGAAAGAGTTGCATGACGGCACTAGTCAGCCTGCGACTCGTGTCATGATCTTTGTGCATTTCCGCGACAGCGCCGAAGAGGTCACGAGAGTGCTCAAAAGATACGAGCCCATGATTCGGCCTCATGTTTTTGTGGGTCAATCAAGTGCCAAAGGCTCTGAAGGCATGGACCAGAAGACACAGCTTAAAATCATCGAGGATTTTAAGAAAGGCACATACAACACGATCGTTGCTACCTCCATCGGCGAGGAAGGATTGGATATTGGAGAAGTCGATCTGATTGTGTGCTATGACTCGTCGGCATCGCCCATTCGCATGCTACAGCGCATGGGTCGAACTGGCCGTAAGCGGGCCGGTAACATCACTCTGCTCTTGATGAAAGGCAAAGAAGAAGACTCCTACATCAAGGCCAAAGATAACTACGAAAAGATGCAGCAAATGATTGCCAGTGGCTCCCGATTCACGTTTCACGACGATCGTTCTGCACGCATCTTACCCGCCGGCGTTCGTCCAGTGCCTGATAAACGACATATCGAAATACCCCAGGAGAACTCGCAACAAGAACTGCCCGAGCCGAAACGCAAAGGGCGGGCTCCGAAGCGACCTGCCAAGGTGTTCCACATGCCCGATGATGTGGAGACAGGGTTCACTCGAGCCTCAACTTTGGGTGGCGACAAACCCCAGAAGAAGCAAGCCACTGCATCGAAGAAGGCAGCCACCCCCAAAAAAAGACCCCGGACCCCCACACCCGAGCCTGTGGATGTTCCGTCACTGGAGGACGTTGTTCTTAGCACGAGTGAGCAGAACGATCTTGAACATCATTATCAGAACATCGGTGCCACTTCTCCGCAATTCATCCGATTCCCTCGCAACGACGCCTTTCCACGTTTGCAACTCATTGAAAGACCCACAAAGAACGTCAAGCATGGGTCTCTCACGCGACGCATGGTAAAAGCCTTACAGAAGATGCACGAGGCCGGCCCTGACTGCGATCATCGATTCAAAGATATTTTGGCCCGCGAACCCCTCTCGTCAGACGAGTCCAGTGAAACGTCCCGGAAGGATCGGCGCAACTCAAAGCCCTTGAAAACACCATCCAAAAGTACTACTCGACGAGCTTCCACCAATGCCACTGCAAACCCCGCTGGCGGGGAGGTTATTTCTTTATTATCTGCAGATCGTGAACGCGAGCAGAAGGATGATCCCTTTGCCTTCATGGATGATGACCTTGGTGACGATGGCTCGGATTTTGAACTGATGGATGCTAGCCTTTTGTTTAGTAGTGGGTCTAGAGCTAAGGATTGGAAACAGAACAGACCAATTATTGAAGATAGTGATGAGTGATGAATTTTGTAAGCTGTTTGGATATGTCTAGGGATCGCGACACAATGGACATTTGGATGGAGAAACCATGTGTACGTTGATCCCTTTGGAGATTGGATGGACAGAGAAGAGAAAAGAGGGAGAGAGACCTCGAGAGGGCTATCTACTGCTACGATCACGATCCCTCAGGCCACCAAACAAAATTCGAAGTTTACGGCTCCGCCACCAGCGAATTTCTTTTTGCCATAGCCTTGAGGCCTTCCCTGCTAGTGTCAACGCCAAATTCGTCCTTCAAAGATTTCCTCAGATCCGCCGTCATTCGTAGCTTATCTGGCATCCGATCTTGGACCTGACCCAGTCTTGGTGTACCTGCCGTGCGGCCTCGGGTCTTTTGGCATGTCGCTTGATACCAGCAAGGGCTGCATGCCGGCAAGCCAGAGCCACTTGCCCATTCCCAGCCAGGACTAGATAGAGAACTACAGATCTCCAAGTGCAGAACCAGAACCAGAAGAAGGTCTGCTGGTATGTCCTGTCCCGTCTGGAACGAAAAACCCCCGCCAGGATCCTGCGGTCTAGAATGCTTGACAATGGTCAAGAATTCCACTGGTCCAGAATAGAAAAGCCTAACCACACATGGTAACTGAATGAAATTGATCTCGCTAAAACCCCCTGCTTAATCTTCCTCAGATGAAGCTTCCATGTCAGTTTGGTCTGTTCGGCAACTGGTTCGAGCAGCTCGGTCTGATTTTTCAGCCGCTCATTCAATCGTCAAATTTGTTTGTGGAAAGGGGGCAGTGAAAGATCTTTTTGATCCATTCCCCCTGTAATGGGGCCGAGGGTCGCGGAGAGAGCCG